AATAAACAGTCAAACCATATTCATAAGAGGTCAATCGAGCAAAAAACCCACTTTCGAGCGGTTTACCGGCGTAATTACGCACGTGGATGTTGAGATAACATGTGAAAAGTCGCTTTCTTTATCATTACACAAAGTGGACGTTTCCGAATAAACAAACACATCCACAAAATATGTAGGATCGTGATTTCTATAAATGTTTAACTTATAACAGAGGTATCGAGTTACTGTCGAATTGTCGAATTACGTTTAATCATAAACGTACTTGCACAATCGTTTGAAATGGTATTATAGCAACTGAATGTTTTTTGGAACAATTGGTTTTTTCCTTCTTTTAGTATTATACAAAATGGACGTTTAGCGAATAAACAAACACATTCACAATACATGTTTGAACGTGATTTCTATCAATGTTTAACTCATAGTAAAGGTGTCGAGTCACTATCGAAGACAAATAATCTGATGCCGGAAAAAAGCACAGGCAAACATTTTGTCTGAAATTAGCGCTGCAAGACTGAATGATGTTTAAATTGTAGAGCACGGCAGCCTAAGGAAAAGAGGATTGTAAATTGAAGACGACTTCAATTTGACAGAAAAAAGGAGCTCTATAAAATGAAATCATTTCATCTTGAGGTCGTTTTCACATTTCTTCCAGATGCATACACAAAAGAATAAAGTTTTTCCTAATCCACTACTGGTTGTTTCAAGCAGTTCAAGGCGTATGAAATATCGCAAGTTTGGCCGTTTCCGTCCCTATGGGATGTAAGCATGTTTAAAAAAAAGTGTTCGAAATGTGTTAACTAACCTCTTTGCCAAACACTTGCACGAAAAGTCGAAAACTCCTGATCTCTCTTTTTTTTCCCTCGGAGTGAGAAAGCAAAGCACAGCTTAGAGCTACACCTTGGTTCAAACTGAACTTGGATGCGAGCAGAGGGTTTCTTTATGGGCGTCGCTTATGCTGATTTATTGTTGTTGAGTTGTCTCTAGGGAGTTGTATTGTTACAGCAATTTGTTTATTATTCCGGCCTCTTGACGCAAAAGGCAAAGCAAAATCTGCTGGCGAACTGAAAAGCTGAAAAAAGGGAGGACTAAATTTGTGGACAAAGTCAATATTCACCAGTAGGCGGGCTTAGCTCTGCACTAAAATAAAAGTTTTACTCCAACTCAGGGGCTATTCGCATGATCAGCTTAGTGAATGCTTACGCAGGAGTTCAAGAGCGTCCTAAAAACTACATTGAAAATTACGTTAACAATGATGTAATTTCCTCGTCATCTGCAAAGAACCCACTCCGTTGTCATTTGCTAGATCTATTGCATGACACTCGGTTTGGTTTCTGGGCTCTGTTTATTGTTTTCAAAGAACCATAAGCTCCTCTTACAGTGTTCATTGACCCTTCATTAGGCATGTATTTTTTTAATGGGAACCTTTAGCATTTTTCAGATTAAACATTTTTTTAATGTACATGGAAAAACGTGACATTCCAGTCATATTTATACACCTACACCACGTATTTCTAAACCGAGCACGTTTTTTTATCCTCACGTGAGAGGCCAAGTGTGACCAGTGCACGAAGTTACATAACGGCTCGCGAGCCTTGAAAAATTAGCATCAATTTTTCAATGTTTTCTTTCTTAAATTCGTTTCAACTTTTTCCCGGTCCAAGCCATCCATGTTCCTTCTCAAACTTACTATTTCCTCTTTTTCACTGCCATTACCTAAACAGATTTACCTTACTACAGATTGCATACGATTCCACCTCGTGGCAAGCAAGACACATAACTTAGTGGCCACATAGCGGAGATGACATGAGAAAACCCACAAAAAAAGAACTTGTACTTAAAAAAATGGTCACAGTTTGGCGAGGAAATTCGTCGAAATCTTCAGGTGAAAACCTGGTTATTGATGGAAATTTAAGTACCTAATTCACGAGTCACTTTTGGATAAGAAACAAACATACTAAAACGAAAAACTGCACCTTTAAGAAAAGATGCTGGTTTGAAATGAGTCTTTGACGGACGCAAGAAGTTTCGCCCCCAATCAAGTCACACACGGTCCAATTTCACTAACTGCTTTTACTTTTTTGTAAGTAAAATGACTTTGATACCTATCCTCATTAACCATTACTTTATTACCCTAATATCCATTGAAGGGTAATAAAACTCATATTGATAAGTTTTCTTGAGATCTCAGCATTGTTGTTCGCTGAAATTTTGCAGAAATGAAAATTCATATTTTAACAAGAAAGGCATGGACCTCATCTCCGGCCTTTTGTTTGATTGGAGGCTAACTTAAAAATTTCACTCAAATTTTGCATGCATCGACGCAAAATTAACCCTCTACACCTTATTAAACATTTTTTTAATGTACATGGAAAAACGTGACATTCCAGTCATATTTATACACCTACACCACGTATTCCTAAACCGAGCACGTTTTTTTTATCCTCACGTGAGGGGCCAAGTGTGACCAGTGCACGAAGTTACATAACGGCTCGCGAGCCTTGAAAAATTAGCATCAATTTTTCAATGTTTTCTTTCTTAAATTCGTTTCAACTTTTTCCCGGTCCAAGCCATCCATGTTCCTTCTCAAACTTACTATTTCCTCTTTTTCACTGCCATTACCTAAACAGATTTACCTTACTACAGATTGCATACGATTCCACCTCGTGGCAAGCAAGACACATAACTTAGTGGCCACATAGCGGAGATGACATGAGAAAAAAAAAATGGTCACAGTTTGGCGAGGAAATTCGTCGAAATCTTCAGGTGAAAACCTGGTTATTGATGGAAATTTAAGTACCTAATTCACGAGTCACTTTTGGATAAGAAACAAACATACCAAAACGAAGTACTGCACCTTTAAGAAAAGATGCTGGTTTGAAATGAGTCTTTGACGGACGCAAGAAGTTTCACCCCCAATCATTGATTGTATGTAAGTAAAATGACTTTGATACTTATCCTCATTAACCATCATTTTATTACCCTAATATCCATTGAAGGGTAATAAAACTCATATTGATATGTTTTCTCACGCTGAAATTTTACAGAAATTAAAATTCATCTTTTAGCAAGAAAGGCATGGACCTCATCTCCGGCCTTTTATTTGCTTAGAGGCTTACTTAAAATTTTCATTCAAATTTGCATGTTTTTTAGAAGCCGTCGCCTGGAGCTGATGAAAGTAGATGTGGATTCTTTTTCTTAAAACACACACAACATCAAATTGACAATATTTCAGAACATTTATCAAATTTTTGGTCGTAATGAGCAGGAAGTTACAGAACAACTCGAATGAAATTGTAGGTTTGGCGCAGAAAAAAGAGAGAAGTTTTCAGTTGAATGTTCAAGCAAATGAGCATTGAAGGATTTTATTGCATCATAATGTTTCAAGTGTTTAAGTTATTTTTCGTTATTTGCAACCTTCAAGAATATCTACAACTTGGTTAATGAAGGTTACAAATCATAAGTTAACGATGCGAATCAATGTAAAATATTCAATGATAAACTACTAAAAAGGCACACTCAGTGCAATGGAGACTATAGAAGCAAAGGGAAACCACGTCCTCGGAAACTATTTACTGACTCCGAGTTGTCAAGACCCAAAAACTGTGACGGGGTACTATTCTTTCCCTGTGTTTCGTTTTTTCCTGTTTGACGTCGAAACGAAGTGAATCGTGTAAATGATAACTTGTAATAATAAAATTAGCAACTATTTACCTTAACGTGATGGACCGCGGTTGATTTCGTATCCTTGCATCGTTCATGGTCAACCAGGCACTTTTAACGTCCTTACGTTTGCTCTTTATGCCGTATTGTTGACACATGAAATCCCGTACGGGCCTGAAATTTTTTTTTCAGGTCCTACTTACAACTACTAGTTTCAGTAGTGTTCTTAGCTGCGAGGATCTTCTAATTTCATCTTTCCACCGCAGTGCAAATATGTGAATTTTCATATATCTAAATCTTCATTCACTCGGATGTTTATTTGTACCCAATTCATTGACCAGCTCCCAGTTGGCTTGTTAGCTCAATTGGTAGAGCGCTGCACCGGTATCGCAGAGGTCATGGGTTCAAATCCCGTACGGGCCTGAAATTTTTTTTCAGGTCCTACTTACAACTACTAGTTTCAGTAGTGTTCTTAGCTGCGAGGATCTTCTAATTTCATCTTTCCACCGCAGTGCAAATATGTGAATTTTCATATATCTAAATCTTCATTCACTCGGATGTTTATTTGTACCCAATTCATTGACCAGCTCCCAGTTGGCTTGTTAGCTCAATTGGTAGAGCGCTGCACCGGTATCGCAGAGGTCATGGGTTCAAATCCCGTACGGGCCTGAAATTTTTTTTTTTCAGGTCCTACTTACAACTACTAGTTTCAGTAGTGTTCTTAGCTGCGAGGATCTTCTAATTTCATCTTTCCACCGCAGTGCAAATATGTGAATTTTCATATATCTAAATCTACATGAAGAAGTGTTTGATAACAGAAAGATAAAAAAACGGTTAAGCTATCTACCGGATTGTACTTTATGTCTAATTTGCAAGAACAGAGGCTTTTCGGGCGAGGAAAACTATAGTTTTCGAACAAAAGAATGATCTCTAATAAGTCCATACTACCAATGCCGATAACAATCTTCTTGACCGTGTCCTCATCGACGCAAAATTAACCCTCTACACCTTAACGTCAGTATGCGTATTCTCTATACTGTTTTCGATACATTTTCCAAGGCGCTGACAAGGAGAACTTGTTTAACGACCAAGAGCCTGTTGGTGATCATTTCCTCCGCTATTTTCGTGACCTTAATGTTTGATTCAAAGATAACAATGAAAGGAGAATTTAGATGCTGATCACTCTTCGGGGTTTAAAGTTAAACTCAGACCAAGCATCATCATGTATTGACGACGGCATATTCTAGACGTTAAATAGTTCATTTATTCCCAAGTTATGAATAAAAACACTCCATAGTGTTGTTGAAATGTATATTTCCTATCATTTTGTCTCTGAGAATTTGCAGTTAAACCCCTCATTGATATTTTCCTTTTGCTCATCTTTTTAATGCTTAACAATGTATTGGCATTATGAAGAGAAATTACACAGTGATCTCTCAAAGGCACCCTACTTACACAATCTAAATGGCTCAAAGGAGTGAATGAAGTTAGTAAATACGCATCTCTGAAGTTAATACAAAATAAAAATTGAAACTGAACGACGACAAGACTGAGTTTCTGATCATTGGTACATCCCAGCAACTCGCTAAAGTAACTATTTCCAGTCTCCGTGTTGGCATCTCTGAAGTTAATAAAAAATTAAAATTAAAAAAACTCCGAGAAACCTTTTAATTTTATATTTGACGGGAGTTGTTTCTAGGTAGCTCTTGGATGATAAGAAAATTCTAAACAGCGGTAACATTTCCTTTCTTTTTTAGGGACCTGTCATTATTTTTCGCCGAAGGAGAGGGGGGGCTGGGGATTTTTTCAGGGATCACATGGCTTCCAGGGGAATTGAGGGGAGTTCACTCACCGCTAACTGAGTAAAAGCGGGTACTGGGTACTATAGAAAATTGACTGCCAGGGAGGGGGAGGAGGGGAAGAAGGGGGTTAGATTAGGCGTGACAAATAATGACAGTTTCCTTATTGATGCTTTATCGAAGATCTTTTAAAATTGGTATTTCTTTAGATATCAGTGTTACGTTCAGATCATGCTGATGGTCTTCAGAACCATTGATAAAAATGTACCCCATCTCTTTCATCAATGGTGCACAGGCCTCCTCGACCAGAGAAACGAGTGAGGGATCTCGGACGAGCCTCCAGTAACTGATACGGTTTTCGTTATCCTCTGATATCATAAAGGCCTTAATTTTGAATTCTATCTCCGTAGGTATTCTGCCTTCAGCAATCCACTGATAAATGGAATTCGTCATTGGTAGACCAACAAAGTCATACATCACTCTCGCAGCATTCATAGCACTGCCTGCGATGTCTTCGTAACGCACAAGTTTGTAACGACCTTGAAACCACGTCGCCCAGTTATCTCTGACATAGTTTAAATTGTTGGTAACTTGAGAGCACAGCAGCTGCACATTACGCTTTAGCAGACTCAATCCTTCGGATGTTAAATTTTTTGAGTAAAATAGCGTCTTTTCAGGTCCTTGCGCAAAAAACTTGCGTCTCAATAGTGAGGAAATAACAGCACGAGGATCCCTTACCAAGTGAATGATTAAACAATCAAACTGTTGTGGATCAGCGCGGCACACTCGTTCAAGCTCCTTTATTCCGATTTCTCTGGGAAGTCGTGTTTGCATGACTTTCGCTACAGTGATTTTCTTACCTCTACAAGCATCTCTCACGGCTTCCTTGGTAAATTCCGGTGTAGAATATCGCCAATAAGTGAAGTGTTTTTTCCCCCTAGCGAATGGAGGAATGGATCTGTACAGTGTATTATTCTTCAAGAATCCACATCCTAAACAGTCACGAAATAAATCAAAAAAATCTTTGGTGTACGCTCGATTTGTTTCGTCATCGAAAGGATTCCACTCGTCCTTGTAAACCTTTCTTCGCAGGTTATGAAGGGGTTCATAAAGATAAAACACGTCAGGGTGAAGATTAAATAAGTTGCCGGTAAGCGTCGACCCTGAACTCATGTGAGTCAAAATGATCACATTCCATCTTTTATTATCTTCAGTAGAGACTCTCAGAGAAAGGGACGACCTCTTCTCTGCGGGTTTTAGCTTTAAATCTGACTTCTCGGTTTGGTATTTTAGTGCTGTTTTAGCAGAAATACTTTCACGAGGTTGTATTAAAGATCTCACGGTGTACAACAAAGTAGCCATGACAGAACAAGTAATCAACGCAGAGAACAGCACGGTACCTCGACACCTGTAATAAGAAAAGTACCAACGATGATTAAAATCATTTTGAAATCCATAAAGTCAGGTTTCCCTAAGAATGTAGTCACTCAAGTAGTATCTATCGTTATATAACATTAGGATATGCAAGAGATTTGTTTGACAGCAAGCCTTGCGGGTGGATCAATGAATTTCCTTTTTTGTGCGCTGAAGTCTACGAATAAGCTGCGAAAAGACGGTGCTTCGTCAAGTGTTTGGAAAGTGGCCCTTTCAAAATCGATGTCACTCGAGAAAAAAACATAAGTTGTCTCTCACAAAAGGGGCTCTACGCATGCAAATGAACTGGATGTATGGTGCTAAAGAACCTTTACTGGTGTTATTATTTGATAGTATTAGCCATTCCTTGTTATTGTTATGAATATCATTTTTTATGGACATTTACTCTGTCTATTTCGGGCAATTACAGAAAATTTAAGTTTCTGTTGACCGTTATTACAATAATAAGCATGAAACACGTCATTTAATCCCAGCGCTGAAAGTTGAATTTGGATGCAAAAAATTGAAATTAAAATTGAAAGCATAACATAATGAAATAGCGGACAGTTCAGGAGAAAGTAACAACGTTTTAATTCAGAGTTTGAATGAAAATAGTGAGACAAAAATAACCAACAAGGCACAAACAATGGGCTTAAATTCTGAAAGTCTTGGGCTCCAAAACATCTATCATGAAGTAATGGAACTTGATCAAAATTTTCTACGACTTTTACGCATTCCAAGTATAGTACGAAAGACGGGAAAAATTGCGAGCCTATTAGCCTTCGTGCAATGGTTGCCATTGACCGACAACAAACGTAGAAAGAGAAAACAAGCTCGCTTATTCGCGGAAAAGATTGCCCATAAAAACTTCCCTGCAGAGGAGTTAATTGAAACTATCATGTAGCAGTGTGGACTGAGATTTTACCTTGAAAAAATGAGCTTGTTAATCATCCTAGAACACAACCGCTTTATGGCTTGGGAAAACATCTCACAACGGCTTTAATGATAGCGTCACCGATTCAAAGTAATAAATGATGCCATAGAAACGGATACGATCAAAGAAAAAATTTTCACGAATTTAAAATCAAATTTTAACCAATATAAATAACTATAGCAAATATAGGTTATAGACGGACTTGCACATAGGTTCTAAGCCCCTGATAATAATAATAATAATAATAATAATAATAATAATAATAATAATAACAATTTATTTAATGTCCGCGGCGCAAGTTATCCGTGCAGTATAAGACAATGTCTAAAGCTGAAAAGTGATTTATTAGTCAGTCGTGTAACTGGATAAAACAGGATCTAATCAAAATGGCTTTGGCTTGGTTAAAGCAAAATTGTTTTCCTTTTGGTGATGAAAAAAGCAACTTGCTCTCATATTGAATTTGCAAGGAAAAATAAAAAAGCGATTATTAATTATTAGGAATTGTTGACTGCATTTCGTTTCGCCATGGTTGGATCACCAAAATAACTTTTGACTTTAGATCGGGCAGTTCGCAATTCGTTGTTCTAATATATTTTGTTGAAGAAATTTTCAAAGGTTATCAGATACTCGTTCATCCTAACAACGAAGTGTCCCCTCAGTCATTTTGCGAAACTCGACGTTCCTCCCAAAGCATTGCACACCTGACTGGGGCTAATTACTCTTGTTACCAGTTTTCCCTCATTTGTTCGCACGAGATCAAGTCTTCCCCCCTCCTTTTTTTGCAGGCAAACTACGGCCATTAGCATTTCATTGTCGTCCGAGCCACGGGGGTGGGAAATTTGAAAGTTGCTTCGATGGGATGGGGAATTTGAACCAGCGGAATACACGTGTTTTGATTTTAAATATAAAGAAGTTTAAAGGTAAAGAGTCCGCTGGCGTGAGCAAATGGCCTCGCAGAAAATTTCCACATCGCAGAATGAAGCTTATAAGCGGAAAACCCGACAGCAGCATCAAAAACTATTATGTAACTGCAAAATTCTGCAACATTCGTTGATCACTCAAAAGATCGTTCAATCGTTCAATAAAAAATTTTGCTTGCGGGGGGCTTTGAACGCCAGGGGGGGAGAATTCGAAGGAACCGATCTTAAAAAGTTTAAATGGCCAGGGGTTGCGCGGAGGGATGTTGAAGCTTTAAATTGAACGACGCAAAACCGACGTCACTTCATTTGTCTTCTTCTTTCTTTTAATGGTTTGCAGAAACATGAAAACCCATTTCCTCTCCAATGTTTACATTTAGAGGTGTTTTCTATTTTTAATTACGAGGGTTGAAAGTAGCAAATGAAACGCAACACAATACACGAATATGGCTGCAATTCAGCAATGGTTTCTTCATTGTTTGTAAAATAAACAAGACACAGAATAACTTAATTAGGAGAAACAACTGAGTTTGACTAGTGTTTGTCTTTGATCAGTTTTCAGTCACATTGTTAACAGCTACACCTGGGCAGCTAAATAAACGACAATTTTCAGTTTTTGTTTGGTTTTCGGTTTGCAGTTAGAAGTTCGTATGATTACATCATCTTTATTTTCAGTTGCTCGCTTTTATTGGCTTTCAGTCTGAAGTCCTACTTGTTCCTTTACCGACTTTTCGTTTAAGCGAGTAAGTTTCGGAAAATTTCAAATCGAATTTTGCTCAAGGCTTAAAGATCTGACGGAGAATGCCAATAACTAAACAGGTGAGGTTAATTTGATTTTTTTTTATTCGCTGTATATAAGCTGCATTTGTCTGTAATCAATTTCCTTTCTTGGCGCCAATAATTAGTATTGGTAATACAGAACCGAGTGGAGTCCATTTCGGTCTGTAATCATAGGAGTGATTACAAAATCGGATCGGATGACCGCGAAGCGAACGTACGATTTATCAATCACGAGTATGATTACAGACTAAACTGGACGACACAAAGTCTTGTTACCGTTTTTTCGTAACCATTACAATTTCCGAAAAAAAAAACCCAAATACATTAATTTGAGAAAGAGCTTTCAATATTAATTATCCACAGTGAAAATTCCCCATTTTCGAGTTTCCGGGTAAGTGGTTGTTGCTATGGTTATTTAAATCAATTCTTTGATTGGTGGATGTAGCTGAGTGGACTTCACATGATTGGCTACTTTAACTGTCTGATTACAGGTGTCCGATTACAGCCAATTGTCCGATTGTACTGTCTGATTACAACTCTGCAGAATAATTAGTGAAAATTACAGAAGCTAATGCTAGATCACATTTGAGGAAACTGTAATGGTTATGATTAAAGGTAAAATCTAATCAATTCTACACTTCTTTGACCCAGATTAGATGCCTCGGCTGGTATACTTACGGCAAGGAATAGTTTTCCATTCTTCCATCAGGATTTGTCATGTCTCCATATCAAGCTTTTGTATTTTTATTCGTTTCAACCACTGCTGGATTGGATGATTGCAACACGGTCGTATCTATCAGAGGCTACCTTCTGATTGGTCGCCCTTTCAAGATAGCATCCGGGAAATCCCTTACGACGTGTATTTTATCATGTGACCGGGATGCAAACTGTTACAGCTTCAATTATAGATTTCCCAGAAAGAGGTGCGAGTTGAACAATGTGACTCGTTCCCTTCGTCCTGAAAAGTTTTTCTTCTCTCCTGATGCCGTGTACTTTGATCACCCATCCCGTCCCGCGGGATCATGCTCGGGTAATTGGCCCTGTAGAAATAAGGGGAAGTGTGTCAATTTGGCGGGAGCTCCAGGCTTTAGGTGCCAATGCCGATATCATTACATAGGAGAAACGTGTAAAGGTATTTTTATACATTGCATGAATAAAGTGATGTTTGCAAACAAAGACTTTATTGTTAGCCAGTAGCCACTGTTCAGAATGATGAGCCCATGCTCGTCCGAAGGCGAGAGTCAACGAAAATTGAGTCTAAGTTAACCTTTCCACTCTCCTGATCTACGTGTAAATTCTCCCTATGGTTTTCGTGGAAGTTCCTTAAGATTTCTTTTAGCTCTAAGTATTTGGCGATGAAAAAACTCTATGCTTACTGTGCCTGACATTTTCTTTCTTTTCATCACTTTTATGACGACTTGAGAATATAATGACATTATAAGGATAATGGCAGGTAATTTAGTGTTAACAACTGAGTTGAAAACGTAAATTGGCCACCGTAAAGGGTAAAAATATATATAGCCTTTTTCGGTCACAACAGTTTATCAGTTGAAAGACTCTCAAGCATTACTCTCTCGTCTATTAAAGATTATGTCAACTGCAGCGTGGATAATGATGATAATAATTGTGATGACGATAATGAAATCATGAAATAAATGAACATGGAATAATTAGTTTGCAGTTCGCCCCCACTGGGAATGGAAGACGGTAGGATACTGAATCATCAGATAACAGCCTCATCGGATGGATGGTGGCTGCTGGAATATTACAAGGCTAAAGATGCCCGTTTGAAGGTTCAATCGCTTTCTTGGGTCAGTAGTTACATGGATTCAACTCCTTGGCTTCAAGTCAGCTTTGCGCCAGAAATCAAACTGATCAGTGGTATTGCTACCCAAGGAAACCCATCGCATGACTGGTGGACGACAAGTTACACCTTGAAGCACAGCATGACGGGTAAAACATGGCGGGAGCATGAGCGACAAGGATTTACAGAGGCAAGTGAGATGATAGCCGGAGTCTATTGTGGAAAACGCAGAGTTGCACATTGCGTCTTTGGTCAGACCTAAGAGTAGCACTGGCGAAGAGAAACCAAGAGAATTATTTTGAGGCAGGGGCGGTGATATTATTTGTCAACCAGCTTTAGACTGCTTTCCTAGCTCAGGTTTATAGTTTATAGTTAGTTTGAATAGAAGACATTCTAACTGAGCCTTGAACTGAGTGACGTAAATCTGTAACGTTAGTCATCACTATCAAGTAGAACAGTCGTTCTCTGCGATTTCAATAGGGGCACAGGTAAATTGTTCAAAGGGGAGGGGGTCTTTTAAACAAGTCCCTGCGTCTTGCGGTAAGTGGGCGATACCACTGCTCGACCTATTGTATCGGCGAGCTCATATTTACGCAGTGAGAAGGAGTTGCATTGAATGGGGTCCCTAGCAAAGGAAAAATATGTATACCAAGCAGATTCCTCATCGGCTTAATCATGGGGTTTGTCGGCAATAAACAAAAAGACAAATTTTCTGAAAAGGAGGGAGGTCACGAGTACCCGGAACACCCCCCCCCCCCCCCTTGGTACAACACTTTTTTAAGCTAGACCACTTTTGACAATAATTTTAAAATTGATCGATGCGCGCTAGGATTTTATGAAAGCTTGCATAGTTAGTTATTGGAGGTTGCGACTACTCCATCCAAAATATTGAGCCACTTCGTTCTGTCTCTTCCAGGTTTTTCTTGCCAATTCAGACCGCAACACCATCGTGAAACATGCCATATCTCCTCTCATCAAGGCTTCGTTCATCCGCGTTCTTCCTTTTACGAAATATGGACGGTCTGCTCTACGAATTGAGATTTATGGCTGCGATTCCGTTGATGAATAAACACTCTACCAAAACAACACGGCTTTTCTAACTTCCAAAATAACAAACTAACAGAAATCCCTGGATAACAGTGTAAAAAATCTTTCATTTTCTTTCAAATTTTTGGTGATAATAGGGCCTCACAAGGATAGCCTTGTCGGTAGGGGCCAATATAATAGGCAATTTCATCAGTCGAGCGAAATATTTTATCGAATATCACGTTGTATGTCACTAGTTTATAAATAGTGTTTGTTGTCTTGGTTACATTAACCCACTGAGTCGTTAAGCAATGACTCTGTTCTCAGACTTCTCTATTCAAAAAATATTAACAACCACATCGAAATCTCTTTGCTTTGCAAAAATGACAGTACAAATGCAAAAGTAAAGAGATAAAAGCAAAAGAAAATTCCTTAGCCAGTCTAATTAGTATTTTATACAACGTGTCTGAATATGACTGATGTATCTAGAAGCTGGTAACATATGGCCGTGTTGCCTGTAACCGCAGCCAACACGGCTTATATTGGTATATATCAGCTGAAGAAGTAAAAGAGACCGCACAGGTGAACGATATAGGTAAGGCGACCCTAGATTAACGAGAATAAAAACAGCATTTTTTTGTCATCTAATTTCAAGAAACTGGGTAGCTTGACAATTGATCTGGTTAGGTTTTTTTTGTTTGTTTGTTTTTTTTTTTGTTAGTCCTTTTAAAAGATAATTTGGAACGAGTATTTTAAACCATATGGATGTTTATCAAAACAAAAACTTTGAGGAGGTAGAGGAAGTTTCAATAAGGACCCAAGAAGCGTTGTATTTTAAGATCACGGAACAGCTGATCTGTTGGAATTGGGCAACATGGCAATTAAACAACTATTTGAAGCACATTATTGCCCAAGCAATCCGTTTATGTAAAATAGCTCTTTTTATTTCAGTCATCTATGTGTGTATCGTATACGTAAAATGTCCAAATGAGTTATGGTCAATTAAAAATATTTGTATATATTGCATTATTAAACTGGCTACAATGACGTTAGCCCGAATACAATTTCAATCTTAGCGAAATTCTTTAACCGCAATTTACGGCAATTCCTACCAAAATGATTAATTCTATATCTGAAAAAAGCGTAGCATAGCTATAATCCTAAAGTCACCCTGTGTTCTATGCGAAGAAATTAAGTCTTTTTATAGTTCGGTTTAATTGCTATATTGGTAATGATTGTGCAGCGACACTATCATAAACTTCCTTATCCTTTTATCTCTTCGTCTTGATCGTCGATTCCTCACGCTGGCTGCAAAGATTCGCTGCATGGATCACCACTGGGTCTTTTACTAGGTTGGGATAACATTTTCGAACTTGTAAATGAAAAAAAAAATGGATAAAATTTGATATATCATCAACCACAAAAGAAAGCGCGGGAAAGAAATACTACACCGGAAATTAAATCAAGTTGTTACCGGAAGCCACTATCCAATCAAAATTTACATTTTGGGATCATGTGACAAGGATGGCTTCGACATGGCGGCTGGTGTAAACTTGTGTGATGTACGCATTGAAGAAACTCTCAAAATAAGAATAGGTAGGTTCAAAATATTGCGAGAATTCTCTCGAGAATTGCTCTCCATTATCTGTGTGATTTTTCAGGTGAGGCAAAAAATCTTCCAGCGAGAAAAGAGCCAAGATATTCGCGAAACTGTTATTGTGTTGTCACACTTGATCAAGAAGAAGTATTTAGAACCTCAACGGTAGAAAAAAGTTTATGGTGAGTTGCCATATGAATATTGCAGTTACTTCGCACCGTTGTACTTTAAATATTTCACAGAACCTCTAATTATTATTTCCCATTCAAAGGCTGGGGCTCGTGCGCGTTTTCAGTGAAATATTTAGCATTGATCTGTTTTTTTATTCCGTACAAGGAAATTTTTCTGTTAGAGTTCACGCACGATTTACTCTGGCACGGTTGGTTTTTTGCAAGTCTTGTCTCCACACGGAAATTTCATTTGCATTGCTGTCTAAATAACCATTTGAATATAAAAAAATTAAGACCTGCATCTTGTATTGTGGAAAAAAAAACAGAGGGTTTTTTCATGATCGTGAAAAATAGGGAACCCAATACGTCATTTAGTGGCAGAAACTTATTTGATTTACGCTTGCATTTAGCGACTAGTTTGAGAGAGTGGCATATTAATCAGAAATACTCTAGACCAACTCAAAAAGAAAATAATACTGTTCAAGTTTGTTTGATAAATATCGTTCCTGAATCGTCGCTTTTCGCATCATTATACAATCAGCGCCGGCCCGTTTTCTGCTCAATGAAGAAATTACTTGAGCGTGAAAATTTTGAAATGGCTTATTTCTTTCCTTATAACAACAACACGCAAGTTAATGTTTGATTGTAGTTTTGTAACTGAGAGTTGCTATACTCTTTTCCTGTATAATTTATTTTACTCTTCAAATTCGAGTGTATTGTTTTATTTTTGTTACAAGTGTTCATTAATTTTTAAGGTTTAGGGAACGTGTCAATTTTGTCATTTCTCGCTAATTGGTTGTAGGATTTTCCATATTATGTTGTATCTGTCAAATTATTCAAACATTTGCTTTTCTTTTAATTCGTTTAAGCTAACGGTTAAAATTCCTGTACATGTATCAAGTAAAATCGAGGTTTCTATAGCGTATGCAAAATTTAATTTGTGAAATATCTCACTATGCTATTTAATTTATTAATGAGAGGTAATTATTGAAAGAATCATTTTTCTTAAGGTGATAACCTGCTATTGATATCCTGAATCTTATGTTGCAAAAAGTATGAATAATTGATTTAATACTGGAAAGATTGGGAAATCATGCCTAGATGTTACATGGGCCAGGACGAGTGAATAGAGATCACATTTGATCAAACTCTGCAACTTGAAAATCTTTTTTTTTTGCTCAAGGTTTTTAACATGAGATTTTGAATAATATGTGGTTCAATACACTCTCTGGATGCAGATGTAGCTATAAATAAATTGGAGCATGTGGGGTGCAACTTAAGCTAAAACAGGATACATCATTTTAGAATGTAGAGAGCACAAAGTAATAGTTCTGATGAAAATCACAAGTATGATTACCATCCAAAGTTATGTGGCAAGAAGTTTCATTGTTACTATTTTACCTTCATGTTGAAATGATTTTTTTCTTAATCAAGAAATAGTGGACTTCAGTCAGTACCAATTAATTATGTTCTGATTCATTAGAAAAAAGAGATGAAAGAAAATAAATGAGTGCAATTTATGTTTATATTACTTTATTGAAATTTGACTGGTTGGTCAAAATAGTTGGATTTATCAACAAATGGCTCATTTATGGCCCAATCAGGTTACAAGGATCGCCAGCAATTTTCAAAAAGATATGCGAAAGGAAGGAAATAAGATGATTTTCCATTTGAATACGATTTTTCTAAAAAATAACAAACAAACAAACAAATGATTTCATATTCATTTTCACTTATTTTATCTGTTAAACTTAATCATGCCTTGGCTCTCAAGAAAACCATCCAAAACAGATCAATTGTATTTTCTCTGTGTTATAAATGTGTGACATTTTTTTTTTCTTTTCTACAGCCCTTTTTTTGGTGAAGATGTACATTTTGAAGTTCCAAGAGACTTTAGGACATTATGTTTTTATCTATTTGACACTGATCTTATAGGAAAGGATACAGTTTTAGGAAAGGTAAGTTAGTGTGATTCAAATGTTAAGAAAAAATTATATCAGTACATTTCACATGTAAGGGCATATTAACCCTTTCACTCCCAAGATCTAATTAGTAATTCTCCTTACTATCTGCCAAACAATTCTTATAATGTTAGTTCAGAGAATTTGTTATTGGATCAACTAATAATCCCATGATTGATATTCATCTCTTTTCTCATCACCTGCCTGCTTGATATTGTATTGATATTGTAAGGAGAAATTCTGTCTTGGTCATTTGTGGGAGTGAAAGGGTTAAAAAAGGATGTACAACTATTGATTTAGTACTTTCATGGTAAGGTACATTACAGGTATATGAATTTGTATTCAACTAGGCCCAGTTGTATAAAGGTTGCATAACGTTATCTAACAGATAAATTGCTATCCAGCAGGTAAATGATAGCAAAACATACTACACTATCCACCGGATAGAGATTTATCCAGCGGATAACGTTATCTAACCTTCAAACAACCAGCACCTGGCCAGTTGTGATCACACCACCCAGCTCTGGTTACACTGTTAGCTGTACTCACACTCATCATTAATCTGATTGTGAATGCGTGATTGTGAACAAAGGAAATGTAGAGACTGTTATCACAGTGAGATCAAACTGTCTCTAAGACTGGTTTTCACAAGTTGGCAAAATCCCAAACAATCAGGAGTTTCACTGTGTCCTCAGATTTTGAAACTGGAAATCTGTTGAGAAACTTATCATTAGACACACTATCGAGAACTTTTTAGTTATTTCCCATATTAATGCTCTCTTAGTAAAAGGTATGGAACTTCAAAAGTCACATTTTATTAATTTGGAATGCTCTCAAGTTGAAATATCTAGTCCTCGTACAGTTTTGGAATAGAAATATCAGCCCAGTGGCTATAAAGAAATTTCCCATTTGAACAGAAAAATATTTATTAGGCCACCCAAGCTCATTTACAAGACCAATAGGGAAAATCTCCCCCAGAGAACCATGAGGCTCTGCCTTAACAATGTTGCTGGTAATTCTTTTTCAGGTTGCAATTAAGAAAGGATGTGTTCATAACTATCCCTCAGATACATGGTTTCCTCTGGTTCATGTTGAACCTGACACAGAAGTTCAAGGAAGAATACATATAGAAATCAAGCATTATGAATTTATACCTGACACTGATGATGATGAATTCTCTAGCACACCCAAACTAAGTATTAAGTACGTGTTTTTATGCCAACATGAAATCAGTCATCAGTGTTCTCCCTTATTTTAAGCATGAAAGGTTAAAAGAAATTTTTAAACCAGTAGAGCTAGAATTCCAAGCAATTTTAGGCAGTATTAAAGGTACTACAGGTGATGGATTTACCTGTTACCGTAATTTCCGGTCGATTACCCGCGGGTAATCTGTTGATTTTGCATTAAATCCGCGCCACTGCGGGTAATAGGGAGGTGCGGGTTATGTGACAATTTTAAATTCTTCTGGAAGTTGAATTGAAAAAATTTCTCACCTACCTGCGTTTCCACCTCTCAAATGAATTTTATTATATCAAAAGTGCCACAAAGCGGCACGAAAACATGATGCCAACTCGAGTTTATTTCACGCATAATTAGTTGCGTGACAAACAAATTTTTATCGGCACGCGTGAAAACAAAACCTTGATGGTGACAAAAATAATCCAAGGATATCCGGCGCATCAGTAACAAATTTCCAGTTTTCACTAGCTTGAGCTAAAGAGAATTTTCCCGTTTTAAGGGACTTGTTAGGCCCAGTAGAACAGGAGATTTCGACTTTTTTGAGAAATTGCCGACAGTAATTTTAAATCCCAAATGCATCACCAGAATGTTGAAAATAATAGGTGCGAAACTTAACTAATTTCGCGCTGAAAAAGTATTTTAACGACAAATGAACAATGGATATTGCTCATTACGCTCCTACATGCTATAAAAAGGTAACTGACTGAATAAGAATTATAAAAGTGTATCCACGAGTCACCAATTAAGTTAAAACGCCTGTCACAGTTTTACGTTTGTAGTTATGCCGATGAAATCATGGCACAATAATCAATCAATAAAGTATAAGCTAATATTGACACAGAATTGTGCACATGTCTGAATCGAAAGACTGAAATGTATCGCCTTAATGTCACGTTTTCGCCACCGAAAAAGTTGAATAACAACGTGCGGGTTATCCACCGGTGCGGGTAATCCGTTGACTTTTTTTTTTGCAGTGAAAAAAAGAGCACTGAGTTCTGTTCAACACCTTAATGAATTTTTTAACAGTTTAATTATGTAGTCCTTTGATGTTGAAAATTGTGCATTGTATGTTTTTTTGCGTCTTTCTTGGATATAGAATTTTTAAACCAGTTAATTTGTTTAAAATTTTCCTTTGTTGCTGATTAGTAGTTATGTTAAATCATGGACAAATTAAAGAATATTTCCAGAAAGAATGAAAATTTTCACTCACTAATGACTGGTAACCTACTCTTGCAGTAACCATGCCTAGGAGGCTGATATTCTTGGTTGTATTTGCACTACTTATCATTCCTTTTGTTTGTTTGTTCATTTCTAGGGTGGTGGAATGTACTGACTTATATGGGTGTAATGGAAATGGCACATTTTCTGATCCGTATGTCAGTATTACTTGCCAACGCCCTGTCTCAAGGTAAATTTAAAGTCACTTAATAATTTATTTGGTAGCAGAGACCATTAACTAAAGAAAAAAACAGCTCTTCTTAAGATCTGTATCCAGAGCTGGATCTTTTACAAATTATTTTGATAATTTTACATTTTTCTCTAAAGGTCAGAGCCTAAGAAGACCAAAGTAAAGAAAAGAACATTGAATCCAAAATTTGAAGAATCATTTCTCTTTGAAGTATGTGTAAATGCTTTGATTCGTAGTTATCATACATGGATAATTTTCCCATTGTCCTTTGTCAAAGCCATGGTGTCAAAGGTTTGAAACCAGATTGATCAAAAACTTAATTTTAATACAATTAAATTTCTTTTTCTGTATAGATACCTGATGATGATGTTGAAAGTTTGGTTTTGAGGTGTGCCTTGACTTAAATTCAATTTGTGTCAATTATGGATTTATTTTTTCTTTTTGAATTAATTAAAAACTACTTGGTGAAGGCAAGTTCAAAAGTATACTCTTGATCTTTGAATATCCTTAGGTGCACTGCCTGGAGTGCCAGTCTTATAGGGGAAGATATCTTCTTAGGAGAAGTAAGTGGCAATTAAAATGACTTTTGGTTCAAAGGATGTTCCTCTAACTCCTAGAGTGCTTGAGTCTTTTATTAAATTTCTATTTTGGCTAAGTTGGTGATATATGATGTATTTCATAGTTAATGAGTTTTGATCAGTATATACCAGTAGTTCTTTTCTTCAAAATATCATATTTTTTTTATGATAAGAGTTATTGCTGAATGCATTACATGTCAATTTCTCATATACTCTAGGTCAGGGTTCCTCTTAGTAAATGTGATTTGTCTTCAATGCATGAAGGATGGTGGGTACTTTTCATTGATTGAAGTTATTTTTTCATTTATTTTAAATTACCTGTAGATATCACACTTAAGATGTCGTGTTTTTTTAACAGGAGAAATACTGGTTTTTTATTAAAATTATATTTCTATTTTTCTTCTAAGGTACTGGCTTGGACCTCGTGAAGAGAAGAATGACCCTCCAGTTAAACAAGATATAGGCTCATTAAGGCTCAGAGTGACTCACACTCAAGATCATGTATTTCCTTCAAGTTTTTATGAACCACTGAGGGAAACAATTTTGGCTATTAAGGATGGGCAGGTAAAGGGAAGGGCATGTTGAATTTTGTGTGTTGAAATACAAAGTTCATTATGTAAATACTGTAACTTTTCATTCATTAGGATGTACAGACAACTGCAGCCCACATTCTTGGTGATATTATTAAGGATAAGGCTACTGTGGCAAAGTCTCTTGTCAGAGTTTTTTCTCATCATAATCAGGTGAGCTTTTGTTGTTGTTTCTCTCACAGTGAGATTTGAATTAACAGTGTAGACAAATGCAGTGTTCTCCCTTACTTTAAGCACAACAGGTAAAAGAAATTTCAGGTAAATAAAATTTTAAATAATTTCAAACCATCTTTGGCAGTTTATAAGAGGTGGTAGCTTTTATTGGCTTCTATTGGCTGTACCTGTACCTGTACCTGCAGCCATACTGTGAAACTACTTTTTTCCCTTGTCTCTTTTGTGTTCTTTTATTTCTTTATGTTTGTTTGATTTTGTGTTTTTTTGCATTGGTTCCTTTTAGGTTGTAGATTTTATAAAGCTGGTTGTAGATCATGAAGTCCAAAGTACAAAGTGAGTGCTATGACTTGTTCTTAGATTGAAAGGTCAATTTGAGCAGAGGATGTGACATATCAGCTTTCAGTATGGTTTTTTATAGTATTGCTGAACATGGCCAGACAGGCCATAATAAAGCATCATCTGATATTAAACTGATTTACATGAATGCAGCTTTTTCTTACAAAGATTTTTTTTGCATTTTGTTTTCAGAGATTCCAATACACTTTTCCGAGGCAATTCTGTAGCAACCAAGTCTGTTGATGAGTTCATGAAGCATGCTGGCATGTATTATCTTCATGACACCATTAAATGCCTCATAGATGAAGTGAGTTCATTGCTGTGTTTAGAAAATTAAAATTTATTATAATCTTGCGCTTATTCCATAAAATCTCTCATGCATGTAAGGCCTTGTTGGCCTGAAAAGTACACTACATACTTTTTTTACAACAAGAGAAAAATATATGTGCAGTATTTGTGAGAATGGCCAGCAGTGTGTGCTGAATATAAATGAATTTTGCTACTTTGTTTAGATTTATGATGACCACAAAAGATGTGAAATTGACCCAGCTAAGCTGAGAGAAGGGGAATCACTTGAGGGAAATTTGGTGAGTTATTGAGAGGTTCTTTAGTTTTTACTTTTCTGTCTTGTTTGTTGACAGCAGGTGATGAACACTTGATAATTATCTCACATTATAATCACTGTTAACTGATGGCAGAATTCTCAGAGCTGAAACTCTAAAAAATGTATGGCAAACTGTTTGGAGAGTTGATATAAACTCTTGGGAAAGTGTTAAGTTTTGCTGGCTGTCAATGTGTTCAAGTGTTATGTATTCTTGGCAGTCAGGAAAAACCCTGCAAAGAAACTCAGCGGTATAGTTTGTCAGCTGCCAGCTCTTTGGTAGAACCCTTTGTGTATGTGTTTCATATCACTTTGCACAAAAAAAACATGCAGTGTTAATTATGATGTGATTGTTTTTTGTCTTGTTTTTTTTTTTAATGCAGGTTCATCTGCGGAGCTATGTAAATAGATTATTTGCAGCTATCACATGTTCTGCCATGGCATGTCCAACTGTAATGTGTCAAGTATTTCACACCATTAGAGAAGCAGCTGTCCGAAAATTCCCAAGTAATTGGTCTTCATTGTAACTAATTAATAAGAATTTGTCTACTATGAAAGGCTCCAGATAGAGGAACAGAAAAATGAATGACCAACATGATAGACAGGACAATACTCAAAGTAATTTTCTGGCTGGCACCAGTCAAGTTGTTTGGTTAAACCCATTTTAGACTTGACAAATATCCATGACATCAAGTCTATTTACCATGCTTTAGTTGTACATGCATGCAGTCCTGAACTCAATGCTGTAAGAGTGACTTAGCTGTGTTTAAAACCTGAACTTAGCTCAGAATTAAATTCTTCTTTTCGTGCCTAAGCAACTGGACAAAAATAATGTGTGGCATCCAAGGAGTTAACCAGAAAAAAAAATCTATATTTGACTGCACATTGCCATTAACTAGGCGTTGTTTCAAGCTCTGTAGGATAAATTAATGGAGCTGGAAAATGTATTTATTTTCTTTACAATTATCTGTGCAGTTAATTGATTTTCCATGAACATGCATGTGTTTTGTTTTGCCTTGATTCAGGTGATGAAGATGTGTGTTACACATCAGTGAGTGGATTTGTGTTCCTGAGATTCTTTGCACCTGCTATTTTAAACCCTAAATTATTTCAGATGAGAAATGAGCACCCAGTGAGTAATTTGTGATCTTAAATCTAATTGACAAAATAGCAATTTAACGATCAATGTCAGTGCCTATGCAACTGCACACCTAGCCATCCCCTAATCCAACAGCGACCCCTACTTGTCATCATTTGATTGTTGTTGAGTTAAGAGAGGGGTAGGTGCACAGTTGCTCAGATACTACCATTTGTCATTTGTCATTCTCCTTACTGTCAACCATACAATTCTTATAATGTTAGTTTAGATAGTATTGGATCAACTAACTATCCCCAAATTGATATCTTTCTGTATTCTCATCACTTGTCTGGTTGGTATTGTATTGATAGTGTAAGGAGAAATTCTGTCTTGGTCACACACATGGAAGTTAAAGAGTCAAACTGTAGCAGCAGTTTAAATCCCAAAACTGCTTATTCTTCTAAGAAGCTTCAACTAACATCTCCAGTACTCAATAATTTTTTCATTCAAGTTTTAAGCATCATTGTTAGATACATGTAAAGAATTTAATTACATCAACTTTATTCTCTCTTGATTTAACAGGATGCACAAACAGCTAGGACACTTACACTTATATCCAAAGCTATCCAGAGTTTAGGAAATGTTGTGAGCTCTGTGCTGGTAGGTACATTTACTTGACTGTCCATTTCCATCAATTTTTTTTATAGAACTGAATCAAATTAAAAATTTTGGTGCATATTTTTTTGTTTTTATTTATCATGATATGGAACAGTGTGGACAGGTAAAGGAACCTTACATGGAAACATTGAAGTCAGTTATTCTCGATCAGGAACATATCACTGCTGTCAAAAGAGTAAGTTTTGTGTTTGTTTATGGGGTATCTAGTGTGTAAGATGTGTTTTTCATGTTTGGTTTTTACCAGCCTGTGCCAAGGTCAAGGGATAATGCCATTTTTTGCTGACCCTCTCTTTTGCTTGTTTTCACTGACTGAGAGCCTGGCTGGAACATGCTTATATTGATTGGGTATTTAAAAAAAGAAATGTCTATAATACTCGATGATTCATCTCAGAATTCTTTCTCTTGTAGAATAGAAGTCAATACCTAATAAGAATGTAAAAATATATAGTTTTTGGTAAACTTAACATTGTTGCAAACCTTTTTGTAGTGTGTATTTTTCAGTGAGTGAGTGAGTATTAGACGCATACCAGTAATCAGAAAATGTGTGGTTATTATCTTGGATTCAGAAAGCTTCCACTTTTGCCAAAATCAAAATGGACAGCTCAGAAAATTAAAACACCAGTTTGTAGTGTTAAGTGATAAGATGCTTGCTGTGTATATGATATGTAAACTTGTTCTGCAATTGTTTCAGTTCTTAGAGATCATTTCCTCACCCAGCAGAGCACAAGGACTACCTGTAGACTCAACAATTGTTCTCAAGGAAGGGTGAGTGATGTAGATGTCAGAAATATAATATTTCTCATTCTGTCTTTCACTGATTGAAATGATAGTTTCTATAGGAGTAAGCTGTATTTGGTGCTTTTATTGATTACTGTTCTTTATTATTTCATCAGGATGTTAATAAAGAGAGCTCAAGGGCGAAGTAGACTAGGTTTCAAAAATTTTAGGAAGAGGTTCTTTGTTTTAACCAACAAAGGCCTTTCATACTCAAAGGACAAAACTAAGCCAGTTGTAGGTCACATACCTGTCTGTGATATCTTGGGAGCAGAAAGTTTGGGCGAGGACTCTTTTCACCTAAAACTGGTAGGTTTGTTTTATTTTCTCAATGTTTTGCCTTGTTTGCTGTTTGATTTTGTTCTTTGTTGTCCTCGTCCTGAACTGTCTTAGTTTGTAATCCTTTAAAGCTGTCTGTAATTTTGTGTTTTAATGCTGTGGAAAAGACTTGGCAATGCTTCGACATTAAATTACTTTCACCTGTTACTTAATATCTTTTTAAGGACACTTCTTTATTAATAATTGGCTTGCAATGCTTTTTTTTTGTCATGTGGCACCTTGCCTTTTCTTTCTTTTGGTTGACTAAGGAACAACCTATTAAATGTCAAAACATGCTATAGTGTACACATATCCCAAGCGATCCTTTCCTGCTGCCTGTTTCACATTGCCTCAGCTCTTCCTGAACCTTTTTGCTATTCTACTTACTCAGATGGTACAAATAATACAGCCCGATAGACAATTGTATGTACAGGCAAGCAACACAGTAGAGGAAAGGGAATGGTAAGGAAATAAACAGATTTTGTTGAATCAAAACCAAGGTGATTGTATCAGCCAATCAGAATATAAGAAAGTATCACAGAGTGGCTGGGGGAAGCAGGAATTGACAGGTTGTTTGGTGGAGGGTTTTCAGCCAGTTATCAGGATTTCCTCCCTCTATACCATCTTACAATCAGAATCTCAATTTATCTTGGAAAAAAGTTGACAAAGCCACCCTGATGAAGTTACACTGCTAAGATCAAAATTATCTTTTATTTATTTATTCATTTATTTTATTACTGATTCTCTTCTTCATGTATTTTTAGGACTCGTGCACTGCGTAAAGTATGTCAAAGCAACCCACACAGAGTTAAGAAATATCATCCTGAAGCATTTGTATGTGGTAAATGGCTGTGGTAAGAACAAGAGTTTCTATTTGTAACTCTTTTAGGAGGTAACATGTTACAGGAGAATAAAATTCTGTGACTCATTGTTATAGTATAAATTTATTTTTGCTACTCTTTCAGCTGCAAAGAGCGGGCAGAAAAAGCACCAGGATGTGCAGCTATAACAGAGTAAGCAATTCTGTGTACACTTTAGTGAGAGTGCATTTATTGTCACTATACTATTATTTATTTATTTATATCCCTTGTAGAAACTATGACAGTTAAAATTATGGTATTTTGTCTAAGAGGACCAATCATTGTAATCAAAGTTTGCAATTCTCAACTAATTGTGATGGCCCCAATTCAGATGTGCTTAACAAGGTTTCCTATTGGTACAACTTCTGTTCAAGTAATAATGTTACTGTTGGCAGCTTAGTTTAGATAAAATTGATACAGTTTCTCCTTGTTCAAAAACATATCCTTGTTTCCAGCCAATGTTGATGATAATTTTACCTATAAAATGTTCTTTAATAGTTATTATAAAATCAAATTTTCCATTTCTCTTTGTTTAGAGTGCCTCAACCTAAATGTGTAAATGTAGCTATTGACTGTGATCGGGAGATTGAAAGAATACACTCACTGTTTTTAATAAACTTGGAAAAGTTGGATGAATTGCAAGGTAAGTTACTCCTTGTGTTTTTTTGTTTTTTCCTTTTCTTTTTTGTGTGATTAATTAAATTAGTCAAGCTTTATTTAAACATCAATGACTGATGAGTACTTCCACTGTGTACTTGAACATGCTCAATCTCATTCATTGTTTTCAACAAATCCACAATTTTTATTCACCCCCCAGTTTATGTTCACTTACACCTTGTATTCAATATTTTTATCTGTTTTGACATTGACCAATCTCACATTGTTACTTTTGGAATTAGTCTCTTGGAACAACTAATGCATTAATATCTAGCAGTTTTTGGTTTTCTGTCTGCCATGTGGTTTTCCTCCCTCTCATTAATTTTGCAATATGTTTCCTTTATTGGTCCACAAATTTACAGTGTTTCCAATCTGACTGATTGAGAGGATGGTGCAAGTTTTCTCGACCAATCACATAAGTGAAACTAAACTGAAACAATCCAATAAGAAGATCTGATTTGTAATTCCTCTTTCTAGTTCTTACATGTTTCATGGTAAATTAGTGACAAGAACTTACATTTAAACCAACTTGAAGAACAAACCTCAGCTGATGGGTTTGTTTCTTCTCTTCATCTGTTTCCAGATAGTATGTCAATGTTTTCATACAAAATACCATGGCAGTCACCTCTTTTTGTGTACCACAAAAAATAATTAGAATTTGTTACATAGTTTTCATCTCTGAAACTATTTTTTTCTCTTCCAGTTGAATGTGAGAGTCAAAGTGAAAACTGCACTGTTGAAGGAACAACCCAGGAGATGTGGAAACAGAAACTGGAAACCATTAATGACATCCGTTCACATATCATCAGCTTAGAACAAGAACACAAACAGCATAGGAAAATAACACACAGGCTGACCAGACATGGCAGCAAGTAAGTCAGACTACAAGCAGTCCCTTTTTTTTCAGCAGAGTCATTTGCATGAATTAAAAAAAAAACTAGGGAGAAACAAAAGGGGCCACCTGATGCACTGAAACCTCCTTCATTTTTACTCTACTTTTACTATCACACTGTTACAAACTAAACACATATACATGGAACATGCTAAGTCTTTGACACTCTACAAACACAATTACAAACATAGCAGTATTTTTAATAATTTTCACTTGACAATGATGTTATGGCATATCGAAACATTGTATCTTTTTAACAAGCTCTATTCCAAAACTCCCATGCAATTATGCATTGATTGTCAATGGGAATCTGGATTATCTTTACAGATACTGTTTCTTATTTTTTTTGTTCCTCTTTCAGGAAGTGCCCCTGGGGTCCAACTCAAGAATCTCCTGATCCATTTAGACGTCATTTGATCTTATAGTAGTCAATGTTTGTATATAAAGTGTGTAGAAGTGTTAGATTGTAATGCTTCTGTCATAGTGGTTACTTCTTGAAGTGCAATCCATAAAGACTTCCTTCTTCTCTGTATAAAATGCAAACTCGCATACTGGATAAATTCTCCTAAGGAAATTAGTCAGGATGCCTCAGGAAGAGAACGTAGGTTGCTGTTATTAAATTTTTTATTTAAGTGAGATTTCATTTTTGTTTGACCCTCTACAACAACATCACCTGAGTGTACTGATTTTCAGAACAAAGAGCTTAAACTCTGCATTTTATTTAGTAATCTAAGTTTATAATTTTATAATTATATTTTTTAAGTTGAATTTACATCCTTCAGACTTACAGCAAACAAGTGTATTTGTTATCTTTCTCTTTCTAGTGTGATGTGGTGGCTTTTTTAATTTGGTAGTTGTTTCTTTTATGTGGTATTGCGATTTGTAGAAAAATGTGAAAAAACTTTTAGAGGGAAAATGATTTTCTTTGCAGTCATTTCTAAGGGTAAAAATAGTAGAAAAATTAAGTTTAGGAGTATGGGGTATTTTATGTTTACCTAATTAAGAAAAATTATTTTACTATTTATGGGTTATTTGAAATGTTATGCAAACACTGTTTAATTTCTCAGAGAAGTTGATCCAATTAATTTTTTTTGAGAGGGGCCAGGAAGCTAACTTTTAAGAAAACTCTTAAGTCCTCATCAATTTAGCACAAGTCTGTGCTTCGAAGGACTGTTTTCATGTTAGAACTCGCAACAGATAATTGTATAATAGCATACCAAACAAATTGAGTTTGATCTTGGAAGGTATTCAAAGGAATATTTTACTTCAGATACAGGTGCAATACTCTGGTAGTAAAAAAAGAAGCACTTGCCCTCTCTCTTTTTAAGACAAAAATTCAATTGGGGTTCCCACATTTTCAAAAGATTCCCAGCCAGTCATAAACTTAACATACACAATAGTGAAACTGATTACCATAAACAGTGCTGGTTCTGGATATTTTGTCATGAAAACTGTGTCTTTGAAAGTAAGCCCCATTGAATGGTTACAAGGGGTGTGCACAAAATTGAACAGTTAGTCATGGGTGAGATTGGCTTAAAACTGAAGGCTGTACTATAATTGGTGGAGATCTGTTTTAACAAGATGAAATGCGGAGGTCTTTCATGCCAAAATATTTTTTCCTTGGGCTCTTTTACTCTGCATTCATTCTAGTCCTCTACATTTTCTTCATGATCATGAGTGAAGCATAACTCAAACAATGTCACGTTCCTTTTTCCTTTTCTTTTTTTTTATATTTCAGTCTGTTTGTTATTGTCTTTTTGTTTTCATTCTGTTTTGAGTTTGGTTTTTAGAATAATTCTTTAAAAAATAAATAACACACACACACACTGTTACTCTGTTATTCCTTCAAGTGTTGAATCCACTCTCATATCTGTGGAACTTATCGTTTGTTTAGTTCTGTGATCCTTTCTGACTTTTAGATGTTTCTAAGAGTTGAATTGCATTTTTGGCTGCTCATTAATGATTTAATACTTCAAATTTAGATGTTGCTTCATTGTATTGCTTTATTTTTGTAATATACCTATATGTTAGATTTTCAAGTCATATCGATGTAAACTATTTGAAATTTTATGCATGTAGATGCAAATTATTTTTGTTTAGATTGGACCAGTATGTTATTTATAAAGTTTTGCTGGTAAAACCAGCTCTTGGTTTTATTTAACCACTTGATAATAAGCAGTAAAAATTTCAATGGTCAATCCAGCTTCTCACCACATGACTCCCTAATGATGAACTCCTGTTCATTCAGTGGCATTTACGCCAAGAATCTTGTCTGAGTAAACGCAGTTGTGCAACAGACATGACACTTTCACACTGGTTTGTCCTAAACTTATCACAGTTTCACAAATCACACCCTGGTCCTAAAAATCATCCACTACATGTTAGTTTTCCTAAAGCCAGTGACACACTTTATAAGCCAATTATGGTGATAAAATCACCAGGTGTGTCGCTGGCTCTGGGGAATAACAGGTGATGTATTTCTTCATATGTGGGTTTTTAAATTCATTCACTACCACAAGATATTAACATGTAACTTCTCCCAAAAAAATTCAAAACATGCAGTAGTAAGTTTATGAGAATGGAAAGACTATTGTATGTAACACTGCCTAATTTACAAGGAAATGTCAATTAGCTAGTGGGGAGAATTACTGATTTTGATCTAGGGATTGAGAGGTAAAATGCAGTGAATTTTTTTGTATTTGAATGATGACACAACTTTCCATTATGATTTTCACAAAGTTTTTCGTTCTGGTATTGAATTAAAAATTCATGACATGTACCATAGAGCAAGATGTGTGTTTGTAATAATCTCCTTTCAATTGGTTTGTTATGTTAATTTTATATAGAGTATGAAAACTAACCCGTTACATCTAACTTAGACAAAAGTTAAGTACAGTTGCCCCCAAACAATTGAAAATAAAACAAGTTAAAATGGAGTCATTTCATTGTGTGATTTTTTGTTGACATATTATTTTAATCAAGAAGAGACAACATTTGTGGTTTTAAAAGATACTTTTTAACAATTTTTGTTTAAATTAAAGTGAAAGCAAAATGCAACTTGAATGTACAGTTGCTGCTCAGAATACTAATTGGTATAAACACAAAGGAATATACCATGCCCAAAGGAAACGTGCAAGTTTTAAACATTGACATGATACTACTGACAAGGTATGTGGGTTGGAAACTGCTGGAAGCATCAGTGGTGCAAACAGAGAGTGTGAACTAGCTTGGAAATTGGAAATTTTTAAATGTGTGAGAGGTCCACACCCACATTTAGAAAAAAAATGATAATTCTAGTGATGTAAGATACTGCGTTGGACCCCAGATTAAGCAGTCTTGACGCAAAATTTAGTTACTCTCAGAATATCTCACTTCATCCAGGAGTATTTTGTTACAAGCAATACTTAAACTGTGTTGTTCAGATCATGACCTTATGGCTTTCATCAATAAGTACACAGAATGGTTGATGGGCAGTAAGACCTTGATATTGGTTCCTACGCCTCTCAGAGGAAGGAGGAACCACTTCTGGAATGTTGAAACCTAGATCCAAGTTCCTTGGACTTCTGGATGACAGATTTCTTTTGCTCGCCAGTCATTTTTGGTAAGTTTAAGTCCTGGTCTCGATCAAATGGTCTTCGTTCAACAGGCTTGTCTTTATCTTCCTTCTATCAAATCATGGAGGAATGTGAAAAGATTCAAAATAAAATGAAACTTACTTCAGAAATATAACATAGATCAAGAATTAGACATCACTTTACTGCTATCAATTTTCTGTGGTTCTTGTTATTCAAAAATCAGGCATAAGTAATAATTGCACCATTTTGAAGTATTTTCACTCACCTTTTGTTTTTCAATTTTCTTTGTATGCATATCCATCAAGGATTCTCCCCTGTGCCGCTTCTGAATGTAAACAGTACAATAACTAGTTTATTTACCCGCAACTGCAATTGCTTCAAAGGAATCTTTTAATAAAATAGTCCATTCCCTGTGACTGTGTGAATAAATACTTATAAGATATTGCAGACTTTCCTTAGCTTCTGATTCAAATGCTTATATCAAACTCAGAAAAACTGGCAACAGGAGAAATGATTGAATAAATTACAATGTGAACATAACAATTACAAAATTCACCAACATGTCACCACTCACATTGTGACTTTCCACTTGCTTGGTCATCTGTTGATCCCTTGTGATTTCCCATGGAGTCCTGACAGGTTCATCATCATCACCACCTCTTTTTGATCCTCTGTTACCCTCCTTTGACTGTAAGATGAACAACCAACTGACTAAAAATCATGTTTCCCCCGCCCCACACATCCATGATCAACTCCAACATATGAGCTTTAGTTCTACCTTAAACCACTCTTTGCAACACTCTATTTAAAATAAATCTACAGGGTTCATCAGGCACAGGTGTAAGTAAGTAGATTGTTAAGACTTAAATGTTGGAAAGTAAATTATAAATAACTCCTGTACCTTCCTGGCCTTGTCTGCTGGAGTGTCTGTCCAAACTGACTGATCACCTACTTCAACAGCACGAGCACGGAACTTACGGGGCCCCAAACCTGAAGGCAAAAATAAACCAAGGGATGAAATTAGAACAAAATTATGTTGCATCTATTATAAAAAAAGAAACTTGTGTAAGAAAATTTTGCACTGTCCAACATAAACCAAGGTTTCCCACCAAGCCAAGAACTTTAACATTGACAAAATGCAGTAGACTGTCATAAATTAATTATAAGCAAAGTCAAACTAACCCACCAAAATTCTTGCTTAAGTCTGGAGGCAGCTCTGTCATCCAAGTCTCTCGCTTAGGTTTTGCATCTTTCTGTAAAATTGATTTATAAACTTTTAACCAGAGCAGTTCACTTTATTCACTAGTGTGGGTCATATGTAGAAGGAGGGAGAAGGCACAAAGAAAAAGGACAAGGAAAAGGAGATGGGGAGGGCGGCAATTGGGACCTAAAAGTAGACAGGAGGCGCAAGACAAACAAGACAAACAAAAACACATACTGCGTTACTGTGAAACTCAGAAATGTATATTGACCAATCTGACAGAGCTCAGGATGCAAACTTAAAAAAATAAGACACAAACTGAATGCCTTTTTATAGAGGCAGTTAATACATGATACATGATACACAATTAGCTATTACTTAGAACACAATGTCTTATATTCCATAGATATTGCTGGTTTTCTGCCTTTCCCTTCAATCTTAATCTTCAGTCTTTTGTTATAAAGGTTGTGAGGTAAGAGTCAAAGGTTTGGGACACAAGGCATCAAGTGTTTTACCCACAGTCCTCCTCATGCCCACACAAAAGGGAACAGTCTTAGGTTCCTTCCCTTTTTTGCAAGACTGCAGTGCTGCATTGTTGGGAGAGTATAACAGGGTGACTTAGTACTATCAACTGAGTTGATACCGTAGAGTTCTGATAGTAGTGACCTTCATTACTTTTGGGGAACAAAAATAGTTTACAAATAGAGCTGGCGTGAGCTTTTTTTTTCCAAAATAAACAATGAACAACATAAAATTAAAAAAAGAACAACATTTTATCTGCATTCCTTATGTATAGATTGTGTTTCATAAAAAGAAGGTAACAATGATAAATAGTCGATGTTACATTTAATGTGGAATTTAAGAAAAGTGTTGATAGGCCAGCCATAGAACACTTGTCCGCAAATCCAGTGCTTTATGACGGGGAAAAGTGACTGCTGGTGATCAGTGTGTGCTTTTCACAAAATGGGTGGGTATAGCATGGAAAGAGACCTCATGCCGGCTGAAAGACACAGTTATCTGTTCATTTCTGAAATGCAGAATTTCACCACCCATTTCCAGTAGCAGGGACAGTGAAATAAATATCGATGGTTTACCGGACTACCACATGGGTGAATCAGCCAATATAGAGGAGATCGAGTTCTTCACTGACTCAGAGGAGGAAAGCTAAACTGCTTCAATTGTACTGCATGATGCACTGTTGCCTTCTAGTCTGTACCCTGTACCAGTATCTCAGTGTCATTTAATTGGAAGAAACATGTTTGTGTTAATTGACAAAAACTATTTAGAGCTTTCAATTTCAATTTGAAGAAATGTTCCTGTTGTTAATACAAAATTATACTGGGTTAGTTCTTACATCACTACATCAGTGAACTGATGTCAAGGATGAATGGTGGCATAAAGCTTCCCCTTGTTGTAAATTAAAGGGCCTTATCATGAACAATTTAAGACGCTGCACAAACATATTATTGTACATTAAAATTTTGACTATTGATCAACAAATTAAAGGTATATGGTATACAATTTAAAAAACTTTATCTTGCTACTTTCTGGGGGGGATTGCTGCTTTCAGGAGGTCGCTACTTTCGGGAGGGGGTCACTACTTTCAGGGGGGTTGCTACTTTTGGGATGTACCAGCAGCCACAAAAAACTGACATTAATTTCAGGGGGGCACTACTTTTGGAATGGGGTCGCTACTTTTGGGGGGGTTGCTACTTTCAGGGGGGTCACTATTTTCGGGGGGTTGCTACTTTTGGGATGTACTAGCGGCCACAAAAAACTGACATTAATTTCAGAGGGGGGGGCTACTTTCAGGGGATCATTACTAGCAGAACTTTACAGTAACATAAATTGGCCACTGTAAAGAGTTTCAAAGCTGATGTTTCAAGGTTTAGCCCTTCATCAGAGCCAATGACAAAGGGCTAATGCTCTGATGAAGGGCTAAAGTATACTGTATCACTTCTGAAATACCTACATGTTACTTTCATGTACCTTGCCTGTCATCTGGTCCTTTTTTGCCATACTTCGTGCCTCTATGTCCATTTTGGTTCTTTCAAATCCAACATCAATGTCCTGTAAGTTTCGGGAAAAAATATATTAGAATCATGATAAATTATTCTTTGTTGAATCCATGGATTTGATATTAGAACGGTTTACTTTGGCAGTTGGTAGAGTTGGTCCAATGACATCTCCATCTTCATCACTACTGATGGTATTTTCAACAGCTGTACACAAAATAACAACGACAGAAAAACAGTTCAATGAATTTAAAAATCAATTTTGGTACCAATCAGTTTGTTTTCATAAAAAAAACTACAAATTTGTTTTATCTTAGTGGATTCGATCGTTTTCACACACGAATTCAATTTAAATTTTAAAACTCGGTAAAAGTTACATTCTTCACAAACCATTTGACACGGATTTCGGAGGTCTCATGGGTCCAATAACCTTCGCTCTTGTAACTTCTTCCTTTTTCTTTTGGAACCCAGGTGGTAAGGCCGGTCCATAACACTCGTCTTCATCACTGTTTTCATCATCCTGCAGTGGTCGTGAGGATGTTTCCTCTTTTCCAAGGGCACAATTTTGCCTTTCTTCCACCTTTTGTTTGTTTATGTTCTTCAGTAGATGTGGTGGCAAAGCTGGACCAATCTCCATGACTAAAATCTGAGTGTTTTTCTGACTATAAAACCTTTTTCTAGTTACACGAATTCAAGTGTATTTTCCTCCGCCATTTTGTTTCTGAAAAGTTTCTAATACCCCTTACAAGACAATGATCTTGCTTAATGAGAGCCCGCTGACAAGCTATCGTTCCCAAGCTTTCGCGGTTCATTCAAAGATGGCGGCCTGACCTGACTAATTTGAACTTTTAAAGAGACCATCAGAACAATTTTACGAGGCGAAATATTGAATTTTCAATGCCACCTAAAAAGGGAAAAGGAGGTGGAGGTGGAGGTGGTAAACAAGATAAAGGAAAAGGAGGAAAAGGCAAGTTCGATCAAACGTAACCTCTGAAAACCCTTCAATGTCTATAAGTCGAAGGAGTAGTTGCTATGTTTTGTTGTTTAAAGATCTAAAGCCAACTAAACTTTGTTAAAAATGTTAAAACGGCTTCTTCAACCTTTAAGCTCCTAGTGTTGATTGACATGTAACTTTTCCCTACATAATACTATTCGTTATTCAGCAAACAGATTATGAGAAAACTCAAACTTATCAAGTAGACGTTGTGATCATGATCTAACACTAAATTCTGGTAACAAATTGACAAGGAAATCTGTAGCGGCTTGAGGGAGAATTAAAAATAAGATCTTTGTGTTTCATCAACATTTACTTTCATTTCAATTTCCAAGGGGGAGGAGGTGGTGAAGATGAGGGAGCCAGTGGAGGGAAGGCAAAAAAGGGTGGAACTGCAGTGAAGGTATGGCTTTACCTAACAGTGATTTATAGCTCAGTTCTCATCTTGGCATCAACTTACTGTCAAGTAGACTAGTGAGGAGAACATATAAACCCGTTACACCCTAACATCAGTATGCATATTCTTCATACTGTTCTCTATACATTTACTAAGGTGCTAACAAAGAGAATTTCTCTAACAATCAAGAGTTCCTTAAATTGGTGATCATTTCCATTATTCTCAAGACCTTTACAACATTAGTGCATGTATATTCTCCATACTCTTCTCTATCCATTTCTTTTGCTACAGACAAGGAGAATTTGTTTAGCAATCAAAGCATCTTAGGTTGGTAGTCATTTCCTGATTCAGCAGCTTTACTGTAAGGAAAATTATATAATAAGCTCAGTTATGCACGCATTCTGATTGGTTCTCACTTATGATGTATTGGAGGACAGACGTATAGATGATGTCATCATTAAAACTTTTTTAAATTCTTTATTATATAAAACAAATAGATTCCAAGTTGCCATGCGTCTGTTCAGTAATAGATCACAGAGGACGTCAAAATGTGGTAAGAACATCAGGGACACACTCGGCTGCACCTCATGTGCCATTTTTTTGTTCTTACCATATTTTGACATCATCTGTGATCTATTACTGAACAGATGCACAGCAGCTTGGAATCTATTTGTTAATTAGATGCCAGCCACTGTTATGGTTTAAAGTTGTAATACTTGTTGTCTTACGTACCTTTAGGTTCGGCATATCTTATGTGAAAAACACTCCAAAGCAATGGAAGCCATGGCAAAGTTAAAGGATGGTCAAAAGTTTAATGAAGTCGCCTCAGCATACAGTGAAGATAAAGCAAGACAGGGGGTATGCCTCTGCATTAGTTCTTTTGTGTGACTGATATATCTATGAGTATTATTTGACAGGTTTTAGTGGTTGTGGTGTCCCTTTTTGCAATTAATTAGAGTGGTTGATTTTATTAATCCACCTTCTCAAAAACTTTTTTCCAGGGTGATTTAGGATGGATGACAAGGGGATCGATGGTAAGACTTAGGAATAACTATGTAGATTAATTTTGCCACTCTGTAAAGTTTTTGTTTCTTTCATTGTTAGTTATTGAATCAGTCAGCTGGTCATACTGTAAGTCACTCTGGCATCCAGTGAGACAGTGAGTGAGTGAGTTATCCAGTCAGTCAGTGAGTTATCCAGTCAGTCAGTGAGTTATCCAGTCAGTCAGTGAGTTATCCAGTCAGTGAGTGAGTTATCCAGTCAGTCAGTGAGTTATCCAGTCAGTCAGTGAGTTATCCAGTCAGTCAGTGAGTTATCCAGTCAGTCAGTGAGTTATCCAGTCAGTGAGTGAGTTATCCAGTCAGTCAGTGAGTTATCCAGTCAGTCAGTGAGTTATCCAGTCAGTCAGTGAGTTATCCAGTCAGTGAGTGAGTTATCCAGTCAGTCAGTGAGTTATCCAGTCAGTCAGTGAGTTATCCAGTCAGTCAGTGAGTTATCCAGTCAGTCAGTGAGTTATCCAGTCAGTCAGTGAGTTATCCAGTCAGTCAGTGAGTTATCCAGTCAGTCAGTGAGTTATCCAGTCAGTCAGTGAGTTATCCAGTCAGTCAGTGAGTTATCCAGTCAGTCAGTGAGTTATCCAGTCAGTCAGTGAGTTATCCAGTCAGTCAGTGAGTCAGCTAGTGAGTCAAGTAGTCAGAAAGTCAGTGCATCAATCACTTAGTAAACCATTACTGTGTCAGTACACACCTTTATCCATTCATAAGCTTCTTTTCAGCCAGACATTATGGCAAGTAAATCTAATGTTCAGTTGTGTAAAATTGATCCTGAGGAATGGAAAACCCCATCACAAGTTCATTATGACTTGCATTCAATAGGTTGGTCCATTTCAAGATGCAGCCTTTGCCCTCTCACCAAGCACAGTTGATAAACCAGCATATACAGATCCCCCAGTCAAGACAAAGTTTGGTTATCATATTATTATGATCGAAGGAAAGAAATAACATCTGAACTGAACTTATGGTACAGATCTAGAGCAATTCTGATATTTTATTTAAACATAAGGATATCTAGTAAGATTCACATGGCAATTTTGACTGTAACAAAGTGGAACTGCCATCAAGTTTTTTGGAAATTCCTATATAAACATTCTTGACCAATTGTTTCTTATCCTCCATAAAGAGTTCATATCCCGAGAGAAGTCCGATTTTATGTACCATTAAGGTTTCTTTGAGTGGAATGTTTGGGCTTCAAGATGTGAGCCCTCCAATTGTTTCTTATCCTCCATAAAGAGTTCATATCCCGAGAGAAGTCCGATTTTATGTACCATTAAGGTTTCTTTGAGTGGAATGTTTGGGCTTCAAGATGTGAGGCAATTTCCGCTTGAAAAACGTGAGAAATTTGATGACAATAAAAGTACCAAACATCCTTTTTTAGACAAATGAAATACTTAATGAGAATGCATGAGAATTCATCCTTTATCTCCCCGTCCGCTTAGGTCTGGTAGCTGTTGCTTAGTATTCAAGTTTAACCAGTCTTTACCGGTTTAGTTTTCTTTCCCTCCAGGCGAAGAGTTAAGCGTTAATCTGCTTTCAACTAAAATGGCGTTTATTTCAATCACATTTTACTCTTGTTTGACAAAAAAAACGAAAAAGGAAATACTTGGGCCCGTGCTTGGACCGTGGCACACGAAGTTTCCATTTTGGTTCTTTCCGGAAATTAGTTTTCTTTTTCTGAACTAATTCTTAATAAATCTGTCATTAGTTTGACGTTGTACATTGTATTTTTATTGTAGGTGCCATCTATAGCTATTATCTATATTAAAAGGCTTAGTATACTTCTTCGGAAGCAGGAAAATATTGCATCGCGCCTCAAAAATTAATTACTAATTTTTCTTTCGACTTTCGCCTTAAAGCGCACGTACCGGATACAACGGGCATAAAAATATGTCAGGTCTTTGTTTGCAGAGGTCGTCTTTAGCACATGGTAGTCAGAGTTTTCGAGAGTTTTCCAATTTGACATAACGTGATGTCTTCAGTTTGCTTGAATAAACAGGAGAAAAGTCACGTCCTTCTCTTCGCATCATTACAATTTGTTTTGTTTTAAACCAAAACAAAGTTAGATTTGTAATTTTGATTATGAGTGATTAAATCTGGGCACGAACGCAGTTTGTGTATTCACTCGATGATTTCTGACTTCGGGCAGAATCCTGTGGTGAACAGATTGAAGAACTTAATTGGAACAGAGATCCTTTTGTGCGTGTGTTTAACTCTTTACTCCTTCACTTTTTATCTTGTAGTTACGTGACAGGATAGTGGTTTTTTAGACTCTCCAACTAGAGGCGTAGGAGAAGTGAAGGGTTAGGTAGTGATTTTAAAGATAAACTTGGAACTAGAAAAGCTCATAATAACGTAGAAAATGTGTTTTCGGCGGAAATTATTAGCGTCAATAGACATACTGAACTTTTTTTTTGCCTTTTGAGGCTCGCGCCGCGGGCAGTTTTATTTTAAACGGTTCTGTCACTGTTTTTTTTTTTTTATAATACTGTCAGTCTAATATCTTAAATGTAACTTTGAGAGTGTGCAATGACTGTGTGCGATTGTCATTTTTATTCATACCTGTTTAGGGTTACCATTTATTCACCCGTATTAACTGACATCGATTCATGGAAAAACTCACGGTTCTGTCTTTCATGCTCATGAGGAAAATTTCATCAGCTGACTAACAGTCGGACTTGTAATTTTTAATTGTTCAAATATATATCATAAAATGTTTAATTATACAAAATAAATGCCGTACCTAAATATTCCTGTATTTCCTTCAACTTAAGGCCGATTGAAGAATCTTTTTTAAATTCGTAGATTCAGAGTTTTCAGAAACCGAATGGCGGATATCGTTATCACAAATATAACAGCTGTGTGATATCGTTTTTTTTTTTTTGGCGGATTTTTTTTCTTTTGATTTGTTTTGTTTTTGGACAAAACAAAGAATTTACCAAATTTTTCAATAATGAAATGAAGTTCATTTTGAAGCATTATGCAACTTAATTATATTTTATTTTCCATCATAACGTACATGCATTTTCGTAGTTACGTAACGAGCGTGGGAGAAAAGCTATGTTTCACATAAGGAATCATAGCGGCCAGAACTTTGTGAGCTTGTCATAAGTTAGTTGATAAATGACAACCTAGAAATAGTAATGTCAAAAGCTTTTTGCGAAAACTACTAACAATCACAATTTTACTATGAGTGACAATGCAAGATCCGAAAAGGAAAAAAAAAAAACACTAACAACAAAACAAAACAGCGACGCCAGCAATTAACTGTAACATGAAAAATGTGATTCTTTTCATCAAGGTTTTCTGTATTTTGTTTTAGCTGTTATCAATGGTAATTCCTTCAAGCAATACCATGATTTTTATAGGATGTCTTTGACAGCTCAAATGATCCTCTTCAGGAGAGAATTAAGGAAATTTGTCATTCATCTCAACAATAAAGCGACGAACAAATAGAAGGACAAACAAATGTAACATCCAGTCGTGGATTGGCCTCACGCAGAGTTTTCCTTCCGTCGCTTCCAATCGTTATGAGTAGAAATTTCATACAACAAGGTTAAAATCTAAGTCAGGTATGGCTTTCTCCACAACCGTCAGAAATACACTGTTAGATCTTTCATGATTTAGTCATCAGAATTCATCAATTACTTGTTCGTGAACAAACGCAGCTGATTCTAGTTTTGGAAGAAACGAAAACCCAGGCAAGGGACGGCTGTCTTTGAAGTGAGATTATTTAGATTCTTTATGAGAAATAATCACAGTCGAATTTTGTACTATATTTAGTCCGTTAATCCCCAATTCAAGCCCTATACTGATTTTTCCGGTAACCAAATCAAACTTGTCAAATATCACAAGATGAGAGTACTTTTTTACAGCTTACATCATTGTTATTATTGTGTTTTTCCATATATAAAATTTGTTGTTTCTATGTCGGTGACTCACTTACTTTAGTCAATCTTTAGCTTAGGAATAAAACATTTATGACAATTAAACACTATCTGCATATTAAATATACCTACCAATGACTTTTCATTTCTTTCTCTCAAAGCAGCCAGATTTCAGTGTAACTCAAATAAGCTTGATATTACTTCAACCGATGTTTTCTCGGCAAGATGCTCACATAAGTCCGTGCGTTTTGACACGAATAGTTTCCAGTTTAGTTTCATCCGGTGAATTGTTTCATTTTATCCGGCTGAAACAGCATAATTGTCACTAATTTTACGTAGCAATAGTTGCTTGTTACAAGAAGGAAATTAGATGCTCCTTCAGGGTTAGACTGCTGTATATTAACCAGCAAATATACGCCTCCATAGCAGCCATAAAAAATTACATTTCGCCAAAACATATTGTGATATTTTTTTCTTACTCCCCAAAAAGCGTTTGTACCGGATGCAACATGATTCGGTATCGTTTTAAATACTTCAGATGCGCTGAAGGTCTCAATAGGCTGAGCAATAAATACGATAGCAAAGATGTTGTGTCCTTTACTGGGTGCACTTTGTTACATGTTTTAGCTTTCATTTTAAGGCTCAGTGAGAAATCCTCTTTTCACGGAGGAGACAACCTCTTTTGTGCCACTTGTGAATAAACAAAACGTGATCAAAAGCAAAATTCAACTTCCTTCCGTATTCGCAAGTCTATTTTTCATTGATTTGACAAATGTTCAATTTATCAGTAACCGAAAAAAGAATTGCTTTGCTTCCTTGCTTTTTTAGACGGATTACACATTTCTGTAGATTTTGTTTTGTCTTTATGGCTGGTCATGGACTTATCACAGAGGCGAAAAAAGGACTTGGGTACCCGAGGACTGTCGCGCATAATGAAAAAATAACAAAGATGTAAATGGCGTGAAATGTTTCAATGTATCAAACATTAACTTGTTATCAACATTTACCGCACGGGAAGTTTTGAGGGCATCCAAAATAACTACTCATAAAGGTACATCGACCAGTGTTCATTACACTTCGAAGATAACTGATTAAGGATATATTCGGCTAACCACAAAAAGAAATTGTTTGCGCAAAACATGAGGATAGGAAAAACTTTCTATACACACAAAAAAATTTAATATTTGATACGTTGAATTTTCAGAAATTTCATGCCATATGTCAATTTTGAGCGTGGTGAAATTACATTACGTGACCAAATTGCCTCAAGCAAAGAGATCAGTTTTGAAAAACACGAAATAGACTCTTCGGTTGACAGTTTAGAAAGGCTTTGTAAATTTTAATAAAGAATATTGACACGTTTTCAGAAGTGACTACCGAAATGTTCCATTTCAGGAATTATTTTCTCCCCGGCAGATGATGTTTCATTTACGATATAACTTAACATGAAAACAGTACGGCTTTCTTATCCCGCGCTCATTGGAACTACACTTACAATAATTTTATTAACGTGCAAAAGAAAAAAGAGCAAAGAAATCGAGGGGTCGGTAAACTGTACCATTTTGAACATTCATTTTCGGAAAATGGGAAATTAACTTAAATAAACGGAAAACCACAGCGCTTATTTTCGAGGGCGTGGGTTTTGCGGGGTCGAGGATTTGCGGAGATTTTTTCAATCACTCTCTAAAATTCATGACCCAACAATGTTAATGTTTGTTTCGTGTGAATTAGGAGCAAACAGATTGAAAGCCACTTTCGGCTTCAGAAAGGCATTGAAGATTTCGTAGTTTTTTGCACTCGAATAGTAATCTTACGTCTGTGTGAAACAAAACTTAATTTTATAGTGTTTCTTTTTTTGCGGAGGCGGAAAATTTAAACTCCGTAGAAAGCAAATTCTCGTCGCCTAAAGGGGTTCTTTTATTTCTTTCCACTGAAAAATACGCTAATTAAGAATGAATTTAAATAAACAAAATCATGAAAAGGCGAAAATGTAGCCTTGTACTGTCAAGAAAGAAGTAAGAGAAACAAACGAGAAAAAAATATTTGCGATAAGAGTCAGCTTTTGATAATAGTCGTGTTCTTCCTGTCACCGTTGCTATGGTTTTCACAGAAAGCTGCTGCATTAGAAGGGTTTTCCAGCAGACATCCTCGTTCAATAAATTATCCGGTGATCGTAAAATACGTCATGATATCTCGAAGCTTTCCAAACAGCTTTTTGCTATTTGTTTACCATGGAATTTCATCTCTCTGAAGTGCCAATCCCCTTTTCGCACTTCTGTTACCGAAATGATGCAAGTCCAACAGAGATAATTACAAAGTCTAATTTTTTTATTTTTTTAAACCAAGTTCAAACCCTAGCGAGCGCCAAACGGGAAATGAACGCGCACTGAAATTGCTTATCTGCTGAAATCATTATAAACTCGTTGTCAAACAACTGTACTTCAAACATTCTGCCGACGCCACACAATAGGGCCTCGATAATACACACAAATGGTGCAAAAAGACGGTTTCTTTGTTTGATCAGCGACAAAAAACAGTTAGTGTTTCAAGGAGATTTTATTCTCACGTTCTGTCAGCGAAAAAGCAGCTCTCTTTAATATTTTATCAACTTGGTTTTGTGAAATCGGATTTTTATTTAGACTACGCGACCTGATAAGTCCGTTTTGGAAATTCAACTGGTGAGGTTGCTGTTGTCCGAATTTCAAAACCAATTTGTTGTTTTTTTCTTCCAAGGCGTTTGGTAAAACTCCTTTCGTAAGAGGTACCTTGCTAATGGGGCCTTGAAAAAAAAACAACCACTTTGGTATAAAAACGCCAAAAGTTTACCATAAAGTAGCCGCTAGTTTTTCCTCTCGTCGGGACTGCAGCGGAACAATACGCGACGCCACTGATCATTTTGAAGGAGAGAAAAAGAGTGTGTATTTTGCTAAACGGCTACTAGTGTAGGCGTTTTACGCACGACGCACTGGGAGGCGAGCAGAATAACCGTGTCTAGCTACATATTAATCAAGTACTTGATTTTAATTCACTTAATTGAGACATAAACAGGAGAAGGAACCGCTCTTTAGCCGAAAGGCTAATAGATTGCATGAAACCTACAAATACGGTGAAAAGAAATCGATCCCCTGAGTGGAAAGACTTCACGTCAGCAGATGCCACTTCGTGAAAGAATTTCAAAGCCTGTCATTTACCAGATCAAGTTCCTCGTTTCATCAGCTGCACAGTACTGCAAACCATCTCGAGATCGAGGACAAGAGTCGCGTTTTCACATCTCTTAAAACACACATCGGCTGAAAAAGGCGCATTTGCCAATCACATCTAAGAAAGAATCGAACAACGACAATTTTTAGTTTTTTTGGGACTGCCCTACTTTAGAGCGGGCTGAAATCTCAAATATTAGCCGTGCTTCTTTGTAAAGAAAGTCATAACAGTGAAAACCTACGGATTAACCGCATCACGAAAGAACTGGGACGAAGGACAACAACAGTAAAGACACAACTCCATCGAGTAAATCGACTCCTTGGTTGAATTTATATACTTTATTCAGATCAGCTTGCGTTGGATCCCAAAACAACGATGACGGAATTGGAAAACAACGGGTCAAACCTCCCTACCAGTGCAGAGATATCTACGGCCGCGCAAGCTACCGGAGAAACGTATTTTAGCCCCTCATATGATGGGGCACTGATTATTCTAAGCGTTATGATAATCGCCATAAATTTACTGGTGATTTCACTGTTCTTTTACCGCGAATATCTACAGACAAAAACGAACAGTTTGCTCATCAGTCTTGCCGTCTCCGATCTACTAGCTGGTTTATTGGGGATCCCTCTGATCGTCGCTTGTAACGCGGTTTTAAAAGCCGGAGTTTGTACAGCAGGAGCGCTGATTTACCGCTTTATAGCCGTCTCTACCATGTACCACATCCTTGTGGTGACTCTAGAAAGGTACATCTATGTGATGTATCCAATGAAGTACATTAACATCGTGACGGCACCACGGGTGCTCAAAGCTATCGCTGGCATTTGGTTGTTCTCAATTTTTAACTCGCTTATCCAGTTGACTTGGGAAGATCCAACACGATTCTTCAAACCTCGCGATTCAGTCTCTCAACAGTACGCACTTGCCTACACCATCGTGGGAATTGTCTTCTGTTTTTTTCTGCCTGCTCTGTTCATGGCCATCAGCTACGTGAGCATGTTCATGGTAATTCACCGTCAGATAAAGGAGATCCGTGGCCTGTACAACACGCGCGCTACGGGCGCCAACAATCAACGTGCTCCGATTGCTACAGAAGCGCGCGCCCTGATCATCTTCGTGGCGATGCTCTCAATTTTCATAATTTGCTGGCTGACGTTTTATGTCACCGGATTTTTAATTCTTCTCCCAGGGCTGCATATAGAGGCAATACCAGATGAGGTATTTATGACAGTTGACTTTATTCGTTTTTCTGTGTCTCTCGTAAATCCCATTTTGTACGCGTTTCTCAAGCGAGATTTTTCCAGAGCACTTAAATCTCTCTGTAAAAGGGATGGCATACAACCAGGGGAGCTTGCCTCGTCCTCGTCTACATCGCGATTTCGCACACTCACCATCAATTTCTCTCTGTCAAGATCCTCCGAAATGTATAGAGACTGAAATGTCATGCAATCGTCTCCAAGAGCAATTTAAAACTCTTACAAAGGTAGTCTGCCAAGGAACTAAACTAAACGATTTAAAAGGAGACATGGAAATTCAGAACTACACAATTATTACGCACTAAAAACGAAATTCAGAAATGCACTTCTGAGTATGAAAGCATGAAAAAACCGAAAGCTAAGAAAGGAACATTGAACAAATATGTTGAACCCAAGAGAGAAACACATCGAATTTAAACAAAGAAAAGAAGATTTAAAGGCTTGAAGAAACGGTAATATGGACTACAGGTTTTTAGGCTGGTTACGAACTAAGTGTTACAAATGAGTTAATGTGCGGCGTTGCAATTATCCTTTTATTCAATTTTTTTCCTATCTCAACGGGATGAAGAGGAAAATTTAACCTTTAGGTTGCGCTGTCAAGGTCTAGAGGTCTCGTGCAGAAAACTTAAATCGCCAAAGGACAATTCTTGCAGATTATTAACGGTCATAAAAATTGGTTCATGCTTCTTCATCTAGTGTTAAATTATGTAATCTAAGGGCCTGGTGAAAGGCAATTTCATCCGTTAGCTAAGTTCAAAGAGGTCAAAACTGAGACTAACGTGATCGTTAATTGGTGGGATTTATATCTTGCTGTTAAAAGGTGCATTTGTGTAAGAATTTTATGGCGCCCCAATGTTTTTCACTTTGAAAAATGTTCCATCAGAAAACAAATTAAGAAACAGATGCGAATTTAAGTACTATATTTCTGTGTTGACAGTATATGTAAAATCCGCAACAAAAACCACAATTTCTCTCCTTCTGCACTATGTGGGTTATTAATTTTTTCGGCAATTTTTAAGGTGAAACTTTAAAACCATTGTAGATGGATTCGTGCTGAGAATAACTGATTCCTTGCAAACGTGTCTGTTAATTCCGGTTTCATTGAGCAAGGATAAACTTTGTTTTCCTTAGGGGATTAAAAGGACTCGTTTGCGCTATAAAGATGAGATTATGTTTCGGATATGAAGTTAATTTTGAATGTTTCCCGGAAGATTACCGAAATCACACTGAGACTGAAACACACGAGACACAACAACGCTTGCTCACTACTATCCACTTTCAAAAGTAGATAATCTTGTTTAGACTTATTCCAGTACTGTATTAAGCATGTTCTCGGCCGAATCACTTCTAGGTGATTAACAGAACTTATTTATTTTCAAATATTGCAGCTTTTTCCGAGGTCTTTGATGGTGTTTTAATTACAAGGCGTACTGCAAAGGAGAAACAAAACAATGTTAAACTCTTTTAAATGCTTTTTCAGTGATGGCAGCTGGTTATGTACTTTATTAGTTTACGATCTGAAATGTTTGCCTCGAGTTCTGGGTAAATACTGGATTTTTGCCGACAAAAATATGATTAAAAACCGTCCATAAGAGGGCTCGCTTTAAATAACAATGAAAAACCACTTTCCATTCTTTTAACGTTCCTATTCAATTCTTAGAAAGGATGTGTACATCCTCTAGGAAGATTTCTCTCGATAAATATTCCTTTGTGTTTTTCTTTTTGTCTTTGTATTGAACGAAAGGAAATTTGACAACATTTCCGCTGTAACAATTTACATAATATTTAGAGGAAAACAATACGCACACTGATTAAAATCATAAGCTGCACAACCCTCAAGGACTTCAATTCATGACATAGGATTTCTCTTTGAAATCTAACAAGTTTAAGTTTCAGTCAGATTATTTCAAAATCTGAGGTTGAATGGAAAATCGGTCAACGCCCAATGACAGTTTGAAAATTCTTCAGCTGGTATATGTTTATCGAATGGAATCAGTTTTTATTTCAGTAATAAAAATCGTCGTATCTACTAGTTCTATAAGACAAAGGTTAATGTTGCTTTAAATACATAATTTAAATTGTAAAAATACAATAGCGTGGGATGTATGGTTAGCTGACCAGCGTTTTTAATAGCGCCTGGAGAATTTTTTGTCATCTTAATTGTTAATTTGCACGCGTCAGTGTTGAAATTTCGTCCTCTGTATACAAAAGAATACCATAGTTGAAGCGGGTTTTGAAGCTGGGTTTTAATGGCTTGTAGTGACGAGAAAGTAAAATAAAACATTTAGGTAAATATATTTACAACGACGTAAAGCAGTTGAGAGGTTTGCAAGTTTCCGAAGCGGGATATAAATGAGAACACACACACACACACATATATATATATATCTATATACATAATTTCTTTATGATAGATTGTGTATTAAAAACAATCTTTTCACTGCAGATGAGTCAAGTGTGTGTTTAATTACAGGTGGAATCAATACACAACTTCTTCAACCAACACAAAAGAGCTTTTAGTTAATACTAGAAATCCTTGATGAAAAACAAAATTGCCGAAATGAAGGAAAACAATGGTAACCCAATATTTCCCAACTTTGAATTGAAAATATCAACAGAAAAATGAATTTGAAACATTTTGAAGTTTCCTCGAAAATAATTTCAGGTCTCAACCTGATTATTAATCGACAACGAAGCCGAAGATGCGAGACAGGACAAGAAATGACGAGTCTGTATGGAAAAACTCTTCCGCGAAGTAACGGTCAAGAGCGGGTAAACATCGTCTTTAGATTTCAATACGATTCCGCGATGGTTTCAAACCTTTCAATTCTCACTTCGATTAATGACCTAACACCATATCTAGAGTAGGATCAACAGCCAATCAGAGCGAAACAGAATATCACAGGCAACCAATGAAAACTCACAGGAAAAACAAGAGAACTGCCAAATGCGCGGGAAAACGCGAGTGGCCAAGTCATGATGTGTAGTAAGTTTGCATCTGATTGGTTGAGAGAGTAGCGCTAGTTGCTGGACCCATTAAACCAGACACAATTATCAATACTTTCGTCTCGCATTCGAAAATTGCTTGGCTGTTCTGTTGAAAAAAAAAATGTGTAAAGCTAGTGGTACTTCTTGCAGTACATTCCACGCTAGTTCATAAGAACTTCGAGGAAGACGGAACCCCTTAGCCGAGCTGAAGAGGATCGGATAATGCTCACTTTTCCTGAATAAAGATCCTAAATCAACCCAACAGAAAACTTTAAAGCTCTTATTCACAGTAAAGGCAAGTATTAGTTACCTTGGGTATACAAACGGCTGAAAGCTTTTTTCGGTTCGTTGGTTTGGTTTATGCTTGGTGTTTTCACGGTTTTAATAACTTAGATCTGGCTTTTCAGTTCCAGACGCACTCGTTTTTGACATTTCACCTTCACAACGAAATCAGACTCTTCCCGCTGATTTACGATGGTCACCCTCGTTTTCCACGGTTTGGAGAAAGGAGTAAGGAATTTCAATATGATTGTGGGTCTTATATACTGAGATTAAGTTGGAAAAAGAAAAAGAACATGCTCACAAAAAAGGTCTTTATTACCACAATCCAAAATAACTCTCGGTATAAATCAACCTAGTAATAAACTTTCACGAGGGCATTTCGACAACATCAGAATATTAGAGAGTTATAAAAAATACACTTAGTTTTGACGCATGCATAGAAAACCGCAATAACATGCATTACACCTTTACGATCAAACAAATACTCCACTTTTCGCGGTTTGGACTCAGCTCTTCACATACAGATCGCAAAATAACCTCAGTCATTCGAGATCTAACCCAAGCGCGGTCTTTTTTTCCCAAATTAGGTAAAATCCGTGTATGTATGAAAAATTTAATTTACAACAAAGACCATATAACATCATTAAGTCGCTTTTCTGAACAGCGAACACTTTAAATAAATATCAAAGACTTACATCAATTATTCCATTTTCCCTAATTCATATCTAAAAGAAATGAACTCCAAGGCCCTTTCAAAGCGTCGTGACCAAATGCGTCACAAAACGAATTCCTTTGTCCAAACGTCACGCAACTCCTGCCTGTGAGAGCTGTCACGGACAGAACGTTTCCCAACACCTGAGCTCTTTCTCTTTAAACCCTTTAGTCACCAAGTCACCCTCTATGATACTATGACTTCATCACATCCTTGTGGTCATAAGTAGTGCACCCTCTGTATCCTCCTCAACGTCTTCCATGTCCCCCCCGGATTTTGACGTCGTTCCATTCTCCCTTGCTGTTTCGCTATCAACCTGGAACAAAAATATGGACATTATCTACCTTCTCGTTACCACGTCAGTTCTGTGGCACAAATTTTTTTCGACAACATTTGTCACGAGCAAGGAACAAAGAAAAACCCTCATTTTTAAATTGATTAAGATGACAAATTTTGAGCTTGATCGTCGAATAAGTCATTGATTGGCTTACTGATCAACATCTTCTTCCTTATGTTGAAATCACTTCATTTCAAAGATGATAGGTGGTGAGAGATAAGAACATTATCATCTAATAGGTGTGCTTGATGTAATATCAAATTCTCAGACCAATCATTTGAGAAAAATGAATAGAAACTTAAAGAGAATTTCGGCTTAGGGTCTGCTTCTACACGCACCTGGTTTAACTGTTGTTGCTCGTCCTGTAGTTTACGAGAGTTATTCTGTGCGCGATCTGGTAAACAGTAACCTATTTTGAACAGCAGTCGAGAGTCCACATCACCGATCCTATGATCACCTGAAAAAAAAGAGAGTTCCAAATCTTTAGTTTAAGCAAAGAAAGACGAGACGAAAAAGAAAATAGCACTGGATGTGTCCAGCAATTAACAATCAGATCTTAGGACTTAGAGGGTTAGGTAAGAGCTCTCTATTTACGAACGAAACCAGTCAAACTCCTTTGATCGATAAATACCTGACTACCGTGGTCGAATCTACTTACACAAACGGATCGAACTTGTTTAAAAAAAACCTTCACCCTTGCGTGCACAACAGTCATCAAACCTGTCTGAGTAACAGAACTCTACACTTGATTAAAGTAATGAAGTCCCTAATCTTGACACCTAAAAAAAAACCTTGGAACCTTCACCAGGTTACTTTGAATTTTGTATCATTGTAATAAATACGTACATTTCAGCACGACTTACCAGGCCATAAGACGCTGACAATCAGTCCAGTTAGATACGTCACTGCAAAGCACACAGCGCTGTACCATAAAAATGAGAGCCTGTAAAATGCCAGGCCTTCGTATTCCTTCACTGGAGGCGGTGTACTTATGAGAAAAACAAAGTATATATTCAGTACCTTATCTCATCCTTGCTTTCAAAGCGACATTTCTTAAGGTTAATTAGAAATGGCTCACCGCATGTGGATCTTTCGACAGTATATGAAAACTACAGCACTTTTAGATAGGGTGCAAAATCAATTTGAGTGTCATGAGACAAAAGTAATCAAAACTTTTAATCAGACTCTTGTTAAATGACACAAGAATTCCATGAGAAATCACACTCATTACGAGACGGTCTCGAGCGCGGGAAAACGGGAAGGACTAGGTAGAGATTTGTTTTAGTTTCACATTTGATTGACCGAGAGTTTGGCGCAAGTTTTCTTGATCCATCAGAGAGTACGTGAGGTAAAAGCAATGTAATCCCGGATTACTTTCAACAGTCAACTGAAAACAGCCCTATTTTCACAGTGACGGCTAACTACGTTTATCAATAAAGGGCAAAATTACTGAGCGCTGATTGGTTGAGAGAGAGGGCATTTTTTCTTAATCGAGGGCATTTTTAGTAATCAAGAGAGGGCATGATTGATTGATTGGCTAATCCGTTGCATAGCAACCGTTCGTTATCTTGAAATTTGTTAAAAATAGACTGCGCGCGTGATTTTCCTTCGTATAAATTTTGCCCTTTATTGATAAACAAGTAATCCCATGAGACCTCGTACTATTAAGGATTAATTGCACTTGAGTATTCAAAATTTTCCAAATTGCAATTTTGAAAACTCTCGTGCAATTAATCCTTAATAGTACTTGGCCTCATGTGATTACCTATACTAAACCCTACGTATTAGACGTGGGTACACGAGAAAGTGTATTTCTGTATTCAGCAACGAGGAAACTATCGTAAACCCTTTATCTCTTGATAAAAGAGAAACAAACTATTCACATCTTTCGATGGGTCGCTGTTTTTGGATACTTCGACAGGGTGATGATCACATACAACTCGGGAAGCTTCGGCCTCCCACACAAACAACAACTTTAATAACTATGATTTAGGAGGTAGAACTAATCACTGCATAAGTTCACTCTTCGCACTGTGAGTGACTTTTATTTCTTTTCGAAGAAACAAGTGTCAGAGTGACTTACAGGCCTCATAACGTCCTCTCTATTGTAGAAATTGTGCGGGTGGATTTTTCCAATGAAAATCAAATCCTGAACGGGTAATGATAGAACCAAAGCGTTTGTTGAATAATAATAATAATAATAATAATAATAATAATAATAACTTTATTTAAGTGTCAGCGTATTTAGCACTGCTGTGCTAATTGGGGACACTGTAAATAAGGAAACAAATATCGTAAATGAACAGAAACTCGTTAAAAACCCCAACTGGTAGGAGGCAGACCAGTTGGCTATTTACAAAGCGTGCAGGAGTTGAATTCGGGGTCACCGAAGACAAATCCATCCAGTGGCAGGGAGGAGGACTTGAACCCGGGACCTCCGGCTTACAAGTGCAGCGCCCTAACCACTAGGCCACGCTCGCCTCCTTAAAATAATGAATAAGCTGAAGAAAGAGATGAATATAGAACAGGACGGTTTCAAACTCGAGCGCTATTCCAGGTTGTAACACACGCACGTAATGTGTGATTTTTTTTTACCAATAACAGAAACAATGACTTTCTAAGCTATTGTTTCGTAGCTCCACTTTGACAAGGTAATGAGCTAAAGCAATATTCCCTGAGGAGGAATGCGCGCGTCATCTTTGACCAATCAGAGCTCTCCAGAATACGTTTCTCCGTTAATATTACGGATCTATAATTTTTTCGCTACTGCAAGTAAATGTCTCGAGAACAATAGGCATTCTGAGCGATGAACCACCGTGATGTTTCAGAACCCTCCCGTTCCAACAACAACAATCAAAACGCTTGATGTCATTAACTCATGCCTAATCAGACTGCGTTCCAGTTCTCCTCTCTTTTGTCACAAAAGCGGGATATTTTGACGGAAACTTGCATGCATAGCTTATGAAAATTTAGCGTCGCGCTGTTTTATCCTGCAAATGGTCAAATCAGGCTCAAACTCGGTTCCAGTCTCCACCCTGCGCCTGTACTAACCTGGTTGAGTTCATCATGATTGTGCTGTTCGTTGGCATAATTTCACACTTTTCTGTGGAGAAGGGAGCTTTAGCGGCGGGCGGAGGGTATAATTTAGCACCGATACCGATCCACAGCCCCACGATAAATCCTAGTAACAATCCAATGTACACACCCTGATAAAATAAGGGAACATTGGTATCCATGAGGGAGACTCAAAAACTAATCGTTATGTCCAGGGTTCATGCTTAAGCCATCAGATGACCACGTAACTGTGTTCTGTTCTAACGAGTAATCTAATGTGAGTAGTAATACTCTACACAACTTCGTGTCACAGAAATCGGAAAAATCGGAAGAATGCTGCGTACCCTGGAGTGAGCTCGACGAGTGAACATTCCAAGACAAAATGCTCCTACCACAGGCCCACCAACAACTCCAAACACGCTGTAAAATGTCTGAATAATACAACAAAGTGTAAGGAATTGGATGTTAACTCTTTAAGTATAGGTATTAACGTGATTTCGAGTGCAATTTGGTGTTAAGAAGTACGAGTAAATTTTTTTAAAGACAAAAAAAGAGCACGAACCCGTAGTGCTTATTAAACCAAATTGAAAGAGAGAAATCATAGCTGAAAAAACATGACAGAAAGGGAAGACAGACGAAATTTTGAAAGTGTTTACGTGCTTATTGAAAATTTGCTCTCGTGTTACAACTTTGCTCTCTTGTTACACGAGAATGCACACGTTTTCAGCCGATCAGAAGCCCGTAATTTTGTCATGTACATTATTGATTTAACACCAAAATCTCGTAACTGATTTAAAAGGAAGTGTGTCGCAGCTTGTGAGGAGAATTAATAAACAGATCTAAGTTAAGAAAGTGAATTCTGAATTTCAGCCTCAGTTTGGGGAGCGAATTTGTGAGGTTACAACAGGGTAACCATAGGGGCTTTGTGAGGTCACACTAGGGTAACTACAGGGGCTTTATGAGGTCACAGTAGTGTAACCATAGGGGCTTTGTGATGTTACAACAGGGTAACTATTGGGGCTTCGTGATGTTACAACAGGGTAACCATAGGGGCTTTGTGAGGTCACTGTGAGGTCTGTGCGGGGTAACTAGGGTGTCACCAAGGGTCATTAGAGAGTCCCCATAGGATTACAGTGGAGACAGAGTGAGAGGTCACTGAAAAGTCAGGAGTCACTGTGGGACTGTCACTGGGTTACTGACAAAAGGAAAAGTAAATACAAAACTGTATATCTAACAACTTCCCACCAACAGGAATCAGTTGTCTTGTAAAAGAGATTACACTATAACACCTCCTTATTGTTAATTTAACCATGACTCTCATTCACAATTGTGACAAACCTGCAAAATGGCACCAAGCTTGGTAGCAAGGAAAGACAGGCCGATAGTTAAACCTCCAAACGCAAATGCTGCATGGAAAGCAAAAAAAAATACTTTGTCTTGAGGAACCTTTAAAGTGTGGGGCTGTATGTGATGAGTCAAACTCAATGTTCTTTACTGAGTTCCTCTATACTCAAGCATTTGAACTACTTTTTATAACACTGCAACAAGTTACAAAATATGGAGAATGCCACATTGAAACATAGATAAACTTTTTTTGAAAGGTGCATTGCACCAACATGTGAACCATTGTGAATGAACAAATTTAAAACATGTTTTTATTGTTGCTTTCTTTCCAACTGTTCAGAAACAACAAGTTGAACCAACAATCTAAGACCTCCACTTAATCCTTGCCAATGTTCCTCCTCTGATGTAGAAAGATGATGACCATGACTTCACTCTTTGACTAAAGGTCTAAGATTTAGCTGATTTGTTTGAACTGGTGATAAAACTATCCACCCCAGATTGAGCATAATGGACTTCTCGATGTCTAAGTGGAGGAAATAGCAATTTTCACGTAGTACTACACTGTCCATTTGCTTTTAGACCCTAGCTAGTCTACAGCAGTTAATTAAGATGGACAGTGTAACTTCAAATGTACTCACCAAGAAGTTTAGAGTATAAGGTTGCGCGAGTCTCCGTCAACTCCTTCTGTCTATATCTGGTCCAAGGTCGGATGAAGTCTTCCAACACTACAGCTGCTAGCGAGTTTAGACCAGAAGACACAGTGCTAAAACAAAGCAATCAAGAATAAAGAACACATCTTTATGATGAATCAGATTGTTAAATTAGTAAATGAAAAATTTTACATAGTCTTCACAAATTTGGAAGGTTTCAATCCCACTTCAAACCTATCACTCTACCAATCTTATTCTTGGATTAATTACTAATGTTATTGTTATGCAAGGGAAGGGAAGCTTCCTTCATATTCTGCTCTTTAATAAAACCCTACCCTTTGAGTATTTAGTTAGTATGTTAAAATTCCACTGAAAGGTAGGGATGTGGTGAATGAATATGTGGTGAATGAATATGTGATGAATATGTTTGTCATAGTTCTTTGATGTACTGCATAGTTATATGGATGCAGTTGTTGGATCAACCAACTTTATGGGAAACTCCCCCACTCTAATGCATAATTTTACTGACTGTTACAACATGCACCCTACAAAATAACAAGTATTTGCTTAAAGTTACCTCAGTGTTCCACTAAATAGACAAGCCATGAATAAACCTGGAACTCCATACAATGATCCCAGCACATGCATAACAAAATATGGCAGGATCTATGAAATAATATAATACACTTTATGAGATTGGCAGTGAGGATGCAAGGATTCTACAAAGCTGGATGGCCTGAGGCTGGAAATATTGTCTATGCTGCTGGTTAAAATTGCCACCAGAGTAAGAGGTCCACTGCATGCAAATACTATGCTGTTTGCTAACATTTATTTCTGACTTTGACGAAATTTGGAATAAATAATCTCAAACTAGGTTGATTTGTATTTATCTTTTCCTGAAAATTGTAGTAACCATAATTCATAATTTAATAATAACCATAATTTATAATTCATAATTTAAAAGAAACTAGTTTAAAATCTAATTGTTAAAGATTCGTGTTCAACTGCATTGTCTAAAAACATTTACAATGTAGATGGGAACAGAGCGTCATTTTTTAAAGGAGGAATGGCAAATATGAAAGAACATTTTGTCGTTGGCAAATCAATTACAGGGAAATGTACACTAATTCCAACACTTTTATCATATAAACCATTATATACATCAAGTTAGTGATGAATTATTCAAAGACTTTGTTTCTTTTACCTGGTCACCCTTCTTTATCTGTTTATTTGAAATGGGATCACAGTCAGCATAAAATGCATAAATTACACATCCACACAGGGCACATAGACTAACTGCTAAAATACTGAGAGGCAAGTTAATCCAAACAGCCCTACAGAATGAACAAGATTGAAAAGACTCAGTTCTATAGAAATTCAACAGACCATGTAAGGGTGTGTATTAGCAAACAGAGAATGGATAATTCTCAGGCTATATTTCACAATTCTCCCTCTTAAAAGCATTGTTGCCAGCTGCTAACTGCTGGCAAAGTTTAACAGCTAAGAAAGAGGTAGTCGCTGGCTGGATTTTGACTGGCAATTACTTGGTTAAGTGTAACAAATGGTTTTAATATGTTGCACATTGATGCCACAACAACTTATAAAGGAATTTACATCAAATCTTGTTTTGAGTGACTTCTTTGCCATGTCCTGTTTCCATATCTTGTCTTCACCATCTTGTAAATGTGAAGCTAGGCAGCCTCATTGTGAAGCAGTTCCAAAAGATTGGGATTAGAATTTGTTATCAAATCACTCTTTGAGCCAGCTTATTTTTCATCCTAATCAGCATACTTCTTGCTTCTATTCAAAATTCTCTGCCATACTGTTGATAGCCTGAGTTCCCTGCTCTTTTACAAAAATCCTCTTTTCTTAAAGAAAACCCAACAACATCACCCAAGTCTACCTTTGCCTGACACAGGTCCTTTACATGAATGGCAAAACTCTGAGAATGGAAAACAAGAAAGTGCAACTACCCATGCCTGTTTGACAATTTCTACCTGAAGAGGAAAGTAACTCTACCTTTTACTGCCAGGCAAGATAAGTAATAACAAAATCAATTCACTCACAATTTTGCTTCTTTGTTAGATTTTGCTGCCAAAAATCGCTGAACAGCAGTTTGATTGACAGCCCAGAGTGGAAACAAACCAAAAGCACCACCAATGATCAGACTCCAAATTGACAGACGTTGTGTAGGATCTGGGTTTAAACTGTAAAAACACAAAAAAAAATAGCTGTACATGTCATGTGTAAAATGTTGAAAATTCTAATTCCAAAAAAATTTTGCCCCCCTTCCAATTATATATAATTATTATCCAGGTAAGGGAAGACCTCAAATTGACATACTGTAAATTCATGGAACTTTGTTTCAACTTACTCAATAAACTTGAGTCGTTGGCCTTTCTCAAGACGATCAAACACATTTCCAAACCCTCCAACTTTGTGTGTGCCTACAATCAGTATTGCAACTAGACCTCCAAGCATAACAATGGCTTGGAAAACATCATTCCAAATGACAGCCTTCATACCTCCCTGAAAAATCACAAGACATTTGTGTCAACACATTGTGAACATATTTTCCTGAGACGTTGGAATGAAGATATGATTGTGTTCTCAATCCCAAGTCTAAATCCTCTTGACCAGTGTCACAGGTCAAGGGAGACATATTCGTCTTGTAATTAGCACCTTGTACTCCAGGTTCCAGTCATTTGAAGTGTGGACAGCACTATTCACTAGAAATCTTCAAACAGAGGATAACACAGTACCTTTTGTTAATACTTATCTGCTGGATAGTAAATTATCAATTGGATGGTGTGATCAGCTCTTTGGACAACTGAGCCCAGATTAATATTACCAGGTTTGAGCTCTGGCAAGGTTATTGTGTCATAATCTAGCTGTTAAAAGGGAGAGAAGGGTAACCTGTAATTAACAAGCCCCCTCCTCAGAGATGGAAAGGAAAGAAATACTCCTTCTTTGGGGGGGGGGGGGAGGAGATGGGAAAGCAATTATCTTCCTCACTTAATGCTATACAAACCAGTAGATGTATGTTTTAAAAAACAATTGCATTTCAGGAAAAATTGAGAGCACTAAATCTGCTCTAGATCTTGGAATAAAAATGGTGATATCAAACTTACAATAGTTGTGTAGAAAGTACAGACAATTCCAATGGATATGATTGACGCCCAAACTGGAAATCCTGTAACTGTGTTCAAAAAAAATTTGAAAAACATTTAGCAACAGACTTACAATATTCTTTAATATTTACAGTACTGCTAAATAATTTAAATTTCAGTTACCTGCTTCTAATGCTATGGCCGGACCATAAACCACAATAGCCATGTAAAGAGACTATAAATAAAAGGAAAAAAGTCTCAGTTTACTTTCAAAGTAATTCTTATCTTGTTCATTATATATCTTATTAGTTCACACAATTTTGGTGACTAAGAACTGACCAAATAGTAATGGTAAAGGTAACATAATATTAATACATAATAAAAAGAAAAACCAAAAGTATGTACAAGATAAATAAACAACTGATATCTTACTGTTTGGATTATAAAACAGACACTGCCAATGATACGCACTCCATTAGAAAATCTCTTTTCTAAATACTAAGACAGAAAAATTCTTGTTAGTATGCCTCTCGCAATTAACAACTAGTAAAGCATAATTCTAAAGTTCCTCTCAAAAAGATGTGTTTCCACACATCCCTACCAATTTCCTGATATTAGGAGCATTTATTCTCCTTTTAAGGGGCAGCAGAGATTTGACAGTAGTGGAAATGCTCATCTTCTAGATCTTCTAGAAATGCTTCTAAGAATTAATCCCAAAACTGGCATCACTTATGATTTGACAGGTAATTTAGTGTTAACAACTGAGTTGAAAATGTAAATAAGCCATCATAAAGAGTTTAAAGGCTGATGTTTCAAGTGTAAGTTCTTTGCTCTGATGAAGGGCTAAAGCTCGAAACATCAGCCTTCAAACTCTTTACAGTAGCTTATTAACATTTTCAACTCTGTTGTTAACACTAAATTAACTGTGATACTCCAGGGCGTGAAATTGCGCCTTATACAGGCGCCAATGTGTCTAAATTTTTCACTTTGGCTACCAAATCCTGAAAATTAGCTGCCAAATTGACAACTACAATACTTCATCATAACCCTAACTAGAGATATAGTGAATTAAAGTGATTTGCAAAGAAAAATCCTCTGCAAACTTCCCCGTTAAGTTTGTCTCCAAAAGGTAGCACGAAAGTCTCGACCGATGACTAGACGCCATCTTGGATTTAGGTTAGCCTGAGCATTGTATACCATCCATCCTAGTGTCCACTTTGTAGCACGTTAAAGATCTTTTTCTTAACTTAATTTTTGAGAGTCTATCTAAAGTGCTGACAGCGTAAAAAGAAGTTTTGTTTGTCTTTAAAAATGGTGACCATCCTTTTTTTAATTGGCTACCACTTTGAAAAATTTAGGAGCCAAGTAACTATCAGAAAAAAAAATAATTTCATGCCCTGTACTCTCCCACTGATGCAGCACTACAGTTTCTTTAGAAACTTACCTCCTTTACTCACTTGTTTTGAGTTTGTTGTAGTTTATTTTCCTAATAATTTACTCACTTATACATAAAAGAAGGAGAGGTACATAGAAATTAGACAGTTTAGACCATAGGTTTTTCATTGAAACTTGCAGAAAGTCCATGCCCCTGATCACAAGCCAGGAAAATAATTTTCCACTAACATGCTGTGAGCATCCTATGATCTTGCTTAGTTTTTTTTACTTAAAGAATAATAGGAGCTTAGTAGTTTGATGTTGTGTGTCACTAACATAAATCTATATAAATAACAACGAAAGAAGTCTAGACTACTGGCATTTGCCCTAAAAATTAACCATACTTCTTTATTAATCAACAAGAATGCTACAATATAAATGTTCAATGACTGTGGATAAAAACATGAACACTCTTCTTTTGGTAAAATTTAGGCCCACTTCAGACGCCATTCTTCAGACGAGCCAAATCGAATTCGATACATTAAGTTTATGTGAAGTACAGCATCTGAGTAAATTTAGAATGGCTGATTTAATTTAGATCGGCTCTGTCAATTAATCCTGCCTGGATCAGCAGGGAAGAACAGCTATAGGCCGACTTTGATTCGGACGCCATACTTCAACCGAGCCAAACCAAAGGCATAAATTATTTAAATGTATTTTTCAAGATGTTTTTACTCAAGAGCATGCGCAAACTAGACAACGCTGACATGTGTTGTTTGTGTTTCCGCACAGCAAAATATACTCTCTTGAAATGTAAAATCCCAATTTGTAATAAATGTTCAATTTTTGAAAACAATCAAGATTACCAAGGACGGGTCACTGGTAAAAGTGTTGCCTTTAAGACGGTTTGCATTCTTATTCTTGTTCTTCTTTTTGCACAGGTCTTCAACATTTTGAGTAGAAGAAAGGCTCTTGCTCGCAGATTGCTACCAGAATCCATGGCATCAGCCATGTTTACAATTGTATGCTAATTTTAATTTTCTTTGATTAATTAGTTTGGCCGAGTAAAGTTCGGCATTTGAAGCAAGTCTGCCAGGATTAACAAATTTGGACGAATGAACAAAGGTGGTGCTACATCAGTGGGAGAGTAGAAGAGGTAATTTAGTGTTAACAACTGAGTTGAAAACGTAAATTAGCCACCGTAACGAGTTTCAAGGCTGACGTTTTGGGCGTTAGCCCTTCGTCTGGTGAAACGTCAGCCTTTACACTCTTTACGGTGGCTTAATCACGTTTTCGAATCAGTTGTTAGCACTAAATTACCTGTTAACTAATTTGAGTCGGCCTTTCGTTGAATTCGATTCGACGCGGCAGAAGTACGGTCAGCATTAGATTCCATCCACCAAAACCACCTTGGTCGAGAGGGACTGGGATGGAATGATGGACAACTCATGACTTGTTATACTAAATGAAAATTACGAAGCTACGACAACATCCCGACTTATCCCGATGACCTAAGTGTATTATTTGTTTGGGAAATTGCGTCAAAACTTTTTACTCAAGAAATGGTAAGTATTAATTTATTGTTCGATTGTAGTATTATAAAACATTTTACGCAATTTTATGCAGATATTTCACGTATTTAGAAGGTGCCCAGATGTTACGTAGTTTTGGTGGATGGTCATTAGGGAACATCCACCAAAACTTTGACCAAAACCATCAACAATATATTTTTTAAATTTTATCTATAGCCACTGTTAGATGTTCAGGGAGACAAAAGATTTATACCACTAATTAGCAGTTAGTGCTCTGGCTAATTATTTTTTATGGTGCACAATTGCTGACCGACCAAACGTTCATAATGATTATCATAACTCTTAACACATAGAATAAAGTGGTTTTGGTGGATGTTTCTCTCCATCCACCAAAACCACCATAGCAATTTCTGCTACTTCCTTACAGAAGACTGATGCGACCTGCTATTTGGAGTACATAACCACAATCTATTTCTTTGTATGTAGAGATATTTTGCAAAGTTCTTGAGTCAGCACCTTTTATTATTGAAACCGTAATCATAACATGGTGCACAATATAGAATACAAAAGGTTCTGGTGTGGCAATCATGTAATCTTGAAACAGGAGAGTTTTTAACTGACTTAAACTGACTTAAACAGACATTTGCATCAAAATTCCAGGTCCAGAAATTTCTCCCACTATTTCCGCTAAAATCATAACCTTTAAGTACAACAAATCAGCACATCAGTAATTGTTATCAGGGGTCTGAAAATCCTATAAATCTTTCACATTTATTTCAAGTAACCTTTAATTTCACATGGATGAATAAGTATACACTCAAGATGCAGAATGTCTTACATTTTACAAATTATTTCCCTTTTTATGGATAGACAGTGAAAGGCCTTTGCCACATTGGTGAATCAAACCATTGTATACCACGCATTTTGTGATAATTGTTTGTTTTTGCTCACAATATCCAGAAAAATGGAGGGGATAAATTTAAATAGCAAATTCTATTAATGGTTAAAATTAAATAACATTGCAAGATCAAATTAACTTTGTACTGTTTAAAATTCAGTTTTGGTTTCTAGCTTATTCCAGCCTCTTAATATTCAAAAGCATTCCTTGTCATTTTTTTGTTCTTCTGTGTAACATAACTTGAAAAATAAACACAGTGAAAGGAAACCACAAATGATTAAATTGAAGCTAAAGCAAAGTTTAAGTTGAGCCATAGCTGATCCAAATACTGAGTACTTTATATTGTAACCCATTTAGCAATAAAGTTTATCTATATGTCTGCCAGCTTGTCACAAGTCTTACCCCTCTCCTTCAAAAGACTCTATAATAAATTTTTCTTTGTGGTCCCTAATTGATGATAAGAATATTACAGCTCCTCAATTTCCCTCTCTCAAGACAAGGTTACTCTAAATTTAACAAAGTAATGGACTTGATAAAACTCAAACTATAACTCCGTCTGCTGGCTGCTACTTGCAACCTTAATTTCTTGATATCAGTATACAATAATCAATATGTTATAAATAAGAACCCTAATGCTTAATTTTGCAGTGATCACTTTCCTCCTTTTCATTTGCAGACCAGACTGGAACCTCTATAGGTGTGTTTGCTTGTTTTGAGTGGAGATGGAAGAAAAGCAGTCATGCTGCATGTCTGATTTATTAAACCGGATTTGTTCTGTTTATACATGAGTAGAACTACCTTGTTCTCTGAAAAAAATAAAATTTCTCACATTTTTATCTGTGCTTTGCAGTCAAACTTCCTTGTGTCTTGGACAAGAAATCTTATTTTCTTGAAAACAAAATCTTTGTTTCCGGCCTTCTGTAATAGGTAAATATAACAGTGTAAGATGAGTGACAGTGTATTTCTCAAGTTAATTTTTTGGAATGTGACAAAACGGAAGTGTCATAGCGTGATAAGGAGCCAACATATGATTGCTTGATAGAAAGCAAAAAATGCAGAATTGCATATATTTTCTCCTTTGTCAGCAGCATATGTTAATGAAAAGTTCTTATAATTGTTAACTTCTAAACCATCTTCAATTTAGCCAAGATTGAACTGTTATCATGTTTGTCATTAAAGTATTCAGAGATCAATGTCATATGACCCATTCATGTATTTGACCTTTCGAATTAGCAAGCCATAGTTGACAGTAACACAAAGGTTGAGGATAAGAAGAAATTATTATATACAGTACTTCTTCTGCATCTTTTCGTTTCGTTTTCTCTCCAGCTGTTCTATCTATGCCGTGCTGGCAATTGAACACTTTCCTTCCCAAAATTAGGAAAGGCACACCAGTAAAAAACGAATTTTTGCTCCTTAAATATCTCATGCTTCTTCCACGAGTATTTTGTGACTTCTGTCCAAGGAAGGAGGTGTAAGCATTAAGTTAACCAGAATGATTCCACAATTGTGGTATCATCCAAGCCATGCCAGAGGACTTGAACTAGATAAACTAGTGAGAATGCACAATAGCGATAGCAAAGCTTTGTAATGCCAAAGAGCTATATCAATATATATATATATATATATATATATATACACCGGTGTTTCAGAAACCTTTGACAGCTTTAAAGAAAGAAAACTTCGTCGTCAATCCTGTTTCAAATTCTGCAATAAGTTTATGCACCTCATCAACAGAATTGATGTATCCTAAATTATCTGCATGTCTACCATCAATGGTTCGCGACTTAAAATTCTCGCTATGCTGTTTCTTTTTGTTCCTCAAGAATCATGGGATTTACAGCTTCGAATGTTCGGCTACATCACTTGCGGATTTCCGAGAATCTTCGGTTATGTTTTGCAAGTCATTAAATATTCCATCTCAGTCCCTCTCGACCGAGGTGGTTTTGGTGGATGGAATCTAATGCTGACCCAGAAGTACGGCGTCTGAACCGGGCCTTATAAAGATAAGTCATAGATCTAATGGGAAAAAAAAGGCTTTGGTTTTTATGTTAAATCACTATCGACCTCCACTTGGTACAGTTCCATCTCTTATTTTTTCTATTTTCCCGATTTTATTTTACAGGCAGACTTTGATCCACGACCAATATAAAACACGTGGTTACAAATAATCAAAACACCACGTGGATTTTATAAGTTTGTTAAAACACTGTCAAACTTTTTCAACAAAAGAACTATTAGAAGAAAAAGTAAGAATTAGAACACAATGACTTAAAAGGCACCTTCACAATATACTTATTGATATAAACAAATCAACACGAGTTTAATCATTGAATCAGTACTTTTGGCATATGATCAGCTTACCTCGTAAGAACTCGAGATATCTACAGCGCGGAAAACGGGAACGAAAACCAGTGCCACGGATGGAAAGAGAATCACGTAGGAGGCAATGATAAGCCAGTACTGTGTACCATAGATGTAAATTTCTGCAGGTACACCAAGAATTGTGATAGCGGACATGAATGATGCGATCAAAGATAACGCGACAGGTATCGCCATCATTCCACGGTTCGCGAAGAGAAATTCCTTCCTTGTTCGCTGCTTTCCTCCGGTTAAGGCATGGTATATTCCAATAGCGGTCGACAGGAATAACATAATTCCAAACACGGCAAAATCAACTGTACCAAACGTGATTTTCTTGACCATGATGTCTCTCTGTAATGGAATGTACACTCCGATATATTTATATATATATATATAAATAAATATATAGTAAGAACGTCGTGTACGCAACACTGAAGAGACCAGGCAAGAGACTGATTGCCGTTAATTTGGGGCTACAACAAAACACTGACCCCTTACTGACCCCCCCCCCCCCTCTGACCTCCTCTAAAGTTCACTGGAAATAATATAAAAATGAAAATAAGGCTGACTTAAACATAAGGAAGAAACAACATTTAAATTTCCAAGATGGCGCGATCTCCGCGTTTCATTGAAAGTGTTAGTTCTCTTTTCCAAAAAACTAGAGGCAACTGTAAAACGGTAAATGTAAAAATTTTCAATTTACTTATTCACTTCCACGTAAAAAAAAATGTTTTCCTTTGGAATATGTGAACACGCTGATCGAGTAGAAATGTAAGAAACCGGTGACACAGCGGCAGAATGAGTGCGCATGTTTGAAATGCGTGCGAAAATTTACGCGCGAAAAGGAATGGGAATGACAATATTTCCATAGTAACACTATAGCGGCGATATGGCGGCATTTTAAAAATTCATTGTTTGTTTTTATTTGGCGGGGATAAGCCCTAGCCTTAACAGATAAGGTTCCCACTTTCAAGAAAGTTTCCTTCGAACCTACTCTGCAATATATCTTTCCCAACAAAAAAAATATTGAGCGCACAGGTGTGAATTTTAGTATTGACGTGGAGCGTTCGTAACACGGCAATGAACTTCGTAGCCCTCCGTATTGTTATAGCACTTGTTTTTATCGCCTCCTCGTACGGCAAACTGCCCGGCCAAAAGGTTTGCTGTTTGAGAGGAAAAACACGCCATAGCTCTTCATATAGAGGAAGCATAATTGCCTTCAACACTGAAATAATTCAAGTGGCAGAGGTGGAACCAGGAAATGTTGTCTGAATGCCAATATCAGCAATTCGAAAAAGAAGCAACATCTGGTCGTGCCTACTACCTTCACATTCTTCCCCTCTAAGTGATACACCTATTCCCACGAGACTGTACAAACTATTTGACAAGGCTGGAAAAAGTGAGGCTTGTTATCAACCAGGGACGCTGTGGTGCACAAGTTGTTGGAGAAATGCCGACAAAACATTTGCCTCGAGGACCACTTTACTTTAGATAGTTATATTCAAAGGCTTTCATTTCCTGCTGGATATTCTGGGTTTACATACTTCACCCATTTACATAATAAACAATAAAGCAATTGATCACCTTGTTTCCATGAGAAGATCTATAACTTAACAAAAAACACTCATGCAAAATGGAAATGGAGTGCCACGCAAAATTCAGTAGGAGTGCCAAGCAGATTCGACAGATGGTAAATGTGATTAACAAGCTATGGCAGTTACATGTATGCTGCAAAACTTACTGCTCTACCACAATTCAATTGCTCAACAGAGAGAGTCAAGAAATTGGTGCACAGGCTGATAATCAAATTTCTCATCATTAATCACGGTAACTTACTTGGACATAATCTAAGAAAGGTAACTAATCCACCATATTGCTAATAGTCAGAGTTATGCTATGATTGCACTTGTAAGATTAAACATCTCCAGCAGGACAACATCATCAAGTATTAACATAATACTGATAAAGGCTCTGCACTGTGCTCATATTTCAAAAGTAAACTCAAGTTAATTGTTGAAAATATTTCTATATAACTCACAGAGTGGTCAAATACATTATTATTGCATTTTCTATATAATCTTGCAGAGCTGGTGGAAAAATTTCAGTCTGCCATGTACAGGCACTGGAGGAATCTATCGAACTTTTCGCATACTGAGGAAACAAAATCGGGAAGGTCATTTACATCCATTTACTTCAGAATTCCCCATAAACGTAGGGTGTATACAATTCCTGAAATTCCCGTTCGTTATTTCACGAATCATTTGACGTTTCAGTGTTGCAAATTTTTCATATTACGTAAGTAAAAAACATTGAACTTCTCTCAACGGACTCAACGCTGCAAGGAGAATCTTTCTCATAATTTACTTTTTAAGAGACGAAGTTACCGTCTAAATTTCAAACGCTACTGTTAGGCTTATTGGCGCATTGATAACCTAGTAAATAGCTCAAACATACTGAAAAAATGTTTATCTGTTTTTGTATATCTTTATCTCTGAGCCACATGAGACTAAACTATTCTGTACCCAGAGTTCTCACGGTCAAATAAGCAAACAAACATGTCCGGCCGAACCATGGACGCTGGAAATCATCGGCTACTACTGACAAGCTCGGGTAAAAATAATAAATAATAAAAGTAGTAAATCGGGTAAAATAGCTTTCTCGAGACCACCGAAAATTATACTCTACAAATTCAGCGCAAATGGCAGGTGTTTTTTGTTTATCACGTCCCCGAGTCCCCGCGCGTCCCCGAGTCCTCGCGTCCCACGTCCCCGAGTCCCACGTCCCCGAGTCCCACGTCCAACGTCCCAGTCCAACGTCCCAGTCCAACGTCCCAGTCCAACGTCCCAGTCCAACGTCCCAGTCCAACGTCCAACGTCCCAGTCCTACTTTTAGTCACAGCCCCAAGTACAGAACTATTTTCCAAAAAAAATCATGTTCTATTTTCAAACTTTTTTCCTTTTTCATATATGTTCTTTATTAGACTGTTCTTAGCAAATAACTGAAAAAAAAATCGGGTGTCACCATGCTTGTTTCCTCACAAACTGCCGTGAAAGGTGGACATGATTTTCAGATCGCAGTCAGGATGGAGAATTTGCGCGGTGGGAACTGGGACGAGACACAAAATGGCGCCCATTGTGTTCGAAGGTTGCTCTCGATATCAAGCTTGTTTTCGGTTGTTTTTATGTGTTTGATGTTGCCAACACTGAAATTCATACTTGAGAAGAGTGCAAAAATAACAAAGAATGAGGTAAGTCAAGATTTGATGAGATTTTGAAGTTATGAACCTTTGGCTGAAACTATTTTGTAGCGCTGGCGTTTTGTTAATTCCAGTGAGCTAACGGTAGTTAGATAACGGCGTAATATGTGACTAACACAGTCTATAGACTGTACGATTTTACGCCACTATCTGCGTCGGTGTATATATGTAAGATTTTAAGCCGTTAACTAAAGGGGTAAAATCTTACAATATATAATTTACCGACTGGAAGAAATTATGCCGTTAGTTACTGGCGTAAAATCTTACATATATATATATTCCCAGCTGAGCTAAGATTCGATTCTGGGTTGAAAACGTAAATTAGCCACCGTAAAGGGTAAAATAGCTGACGTTTCGAGCGTTAGCCCTTCGTCAGAGCGACGACTGACGAAGGGCTAACGCTCGAAACGTCAGCTATTTTACCCTTTACGGTGGCTAATTTACGTCTTCAACCTAGTTGTTAACACTAAATTACCTGCTATACTCTCCCACCGACGCAGCACCACAGTTTCTTTAGAAACTTACCCCTTTAAGGTTCGATTCTGTTTGCCATGGGGCAATTAAGGCTTGACAAAGAAACTTGAAGAAAAGACTGTTTATCCCTATTCTTTGTCTGTTTTCTTGTTTGGTTCCTACACACAGCAAAATGTAAATTCTTCACCCATCACTCTAACAGGAGTGACATATACAGTACAATGTAGTATACTCTGAAAAATACAAATTGAACTTTAGAATTTGCTTTTTATACTTTAGAACCACACTTCAATGTCTCACTGGTCCTCATTGTGACTACTATATTTTCCATGCAAAAATGATTTTCAAACTTTTTACATTTTGTTTGACTTTCATGCTTCAACATGTCACTAAATTAAGTTAATCCTCTTAGTTGTTGGTTCCACAGAATCGAATTGAATATAACATTAATATATACCCTTTCAGAATTACTGTTTGCATTCTTGTTTGCAACTAAACCAACAGAGTAAATATTAGTTTTGCAAAACATTAATTGCACAAATCGCAATCTTAATTTACATTATCTGTAAAGTACTGACATATTTGCACCAGCACCCACTTGTTTGAGGAGACTCTGGGTTTGTTGTCAAACCTCTCCATCAGAATTTGCTTCACCCCTCCTTCTTTGTACACCACTTGTAAGTGATGGAGACCCAAACCCGAGCTTGCACACTTAATGGCCATTGAGGCTGAAATGTAATTCTCTCTAACAAATGGCTGCAGGGTATTAACCAGAAGTTTCTTTTCTTTTAGGAGCTTCTGATAGGATGTCCCCCTTGAAACTTTGAAGCTGTACTTTTGTAGCAGTTTGACATTTAGAAACTTGTTCACCAGCGGTAGAGTGTTTGCACATCTGCAAGAGCATTGTGAGCATAAGATTTACACAGAAGATCTTGTACAAGGTTTTCCTGGCTATGGGATTTCCTTTCAGGAAGCAATTCCCTGAATGCTGGAAGCGAGTCTGTAAAGCCATAAACAGTTTTAGCCAAGTCATCCATGACTCCATTTCTCTCTGCTGCTTGCACCAAGAACCTGGCATCAAAGGATTTGCAATTGTGTGTGACTAAAATGCAAGGCATTCTTGATTTGAGCCACTCAATGAAGTTCTTCAGGGCCACATCAATTGCAATGGCATCAGTGATTGGCTTCCCATCATAAAACAGCATTCCTCTTTGGAAGGTGAGTTTGTTCACGGCAGATGCTTCTGGTGATATTACATGACAAGGCTTGACATAAATAGAGAACTCATCTTTACCATCTGTTGCTGTAATTTGTAGGATTTCAGCATCATTACCTGATGTCAACAAAGATAAACAAATTTTTAAGATATTGTAATCCAATTATTACTTAACAAAGATATTACAAGGAAAAATGTAATGAAAAATCTTAGTGCACCTATGCAGGTTATATTTAAAATAAAAATAGAAGGAACGATTACTGAATACCCGTCCTGCTAATTTGCATCTCATCTATTTTCTTTAAGAACAAGGCATGATAAAACAGAGGAATCTATGTGATGCAAATTAGCAGGATGAGTCTTCAGCAATCTAGCAAAATAGAAAAACAATTCCAT